GAGAGAGACAGAGACAGAGACAGAGACAGAGACAGACAGAGACGAGAGGAGAGTAACAGGAGCACAACGGGAGAGCGAAGAGAGAATGAATACCGAGGGGAGGGACGGGAGGGCGACGGGAGAGCGGTAAAAAAGCAGCAGGAGACAGACAGAAAACGATGAATGGGCGACAGTAAAGAGGCGGAGGAGAGGAGCGATAGGGATACGACTGTAGAGAGAAACGGGAGAGAATTGGGAGAGAGACTGTAGAGCGATGGAGGGAGACGGAAGAACGCCGGGCATGACAACCACAGATTTCGAGCATTCTGCAATGATCGTAAGTCGACCAACCAGAATCACGCATACCTACAGTACAGGCGCTTAATTAAAACGAACGATTCTGAATCGGGCTGTAACCACAGGCAAGTCAAAATATGGACTCGTAATTATGCAGTGATAAGTGATGAATGACTTTAATTTTCAGGAGTGACGCTCTTCTTTTGAGCAAATTTGCCGTGCAAAGATATTATCCTTGGGCACAAAAAATCGCCATTTGCTCGCTATTTGAGTAATTCACGCGTCATAAAATGTTTTATCAACCTCCCAAATTTTCCCCAACGTCTACAAACATCAAACTCATAAGCACATCGCAGTCGAGTGAGCCTGAGGACGGTAAAATCGTACGGTAACGTTTACAATTCCGCGCGGCAGCGGCACTGCGGTCGCGGTGGTATTCGTTCGTCGCTCCGCCATCATCCAGTCAAGCACTCTCACCGCTACAGAGTAGGATATCAAACACTGGTTGTCCTCGCCTCGGGGTCCGCAGTCTATTTCGAGCGAGGAGCCCATCGCTATACAGTAGCCATACAGCCGAGAGATGGGTCGACGAATGAGCGAAAACCGGTTCGTGGCCAGGCGGGTAAGGGAGAATTTCATGTGCGTTCAGTGGAAGATATAGACGGCAAAACTGTCCTGCTTTTATGTGCTTATATGTAAAGGCGTGCTCGACAAGACCTGGGCGTCTGTAGAGATTTAAATATTCACAAGCCCCATGGCTATGTTAATTAATATAAAATATAAAATGGGTGCGCAGTGCGCACATCTTGCGCGTGTGCTTATGCTTGCGTAAGTGCGTGCTACGTGGGTGTCTATGTGCAACATGTTTTGTAAGTATCTACTGGAGTCTTCGATATCTCCTCTGTAGATCGTTGCTAGCCGAATAAATGTGCAACTCTTGCATAATTCATAAACGATGGCATTTTGGCTCGAGGCCGGGCTGTCGGCTGTCGCAGTGTCGCATGCTACTGAGCTGAGCTGTTACATAAGGTCGAACAATGCACGGTACATAATATGGATGGATGCCATCCTGGGACGTTCTATGACCCTTTGCACGTTTCACTTCCGAGATTTCTCTAAACCACCTTTTTTACACTAGAAACGTTCGTAAAGGAATGGAATGCTTATGCGTCTGCTTCTAACTCAACCAGTTTCAAAAAGTTGGAAGATCAATATGAAAGGATTGCCCATGTTTAAAACGGGCATTTCTCATAGGGTTGGGATTTAAAATAAGCAAACGTTTTATTCAGCATTGCCCCGGTCATGACCACCACCTCATCTCCACATGCAGCTTAAATTCCAAACTGCTCTAAAAAAAAAAACTTAAGATGTCGGGCGAATAGCAGCCATTGGTTATTGATCCGATTGAATATTGTAATTCTTCGCCCGATAACACGAATAAACACCCGATAACACGAATATAACAACGATACATTATCGCATTTACTCGGACCGGCATGCTGGTTGCCGTTATCTATCTAATATAATTTCGTGTTGATGGGTCACACGGTCTACAGATGCAGAATCTAGGTATCGGTCACGTTGTAGCCTAAAAACAAATAAATAAACGGATAAAAATGAATTACATATGTAGTCCCCCAGAACCACGCGGCAAGCCCGAGGTCGTGCTATGGCGCTACCAAGTTGTTACTTTACACTACGAGTTTACAAATCCCGGCACGAAAAAGTCGATAAGTCGAGACCTACATCCTCATCCCTTTTCCACCGATATCGACACTTCACATGAGGTTGATAAGGGCCCTTAAGTAGGCGATATAGGTTGAGGTACTTGGACGGTAGGTATATACAGATGCCGATTCAGATTGCCGTAGCAGTAGACCGACATCGTGATCGGGAAGCAATACCAAAAAATAGACGGCGTAAAAACACCTCTCGGTCAAAGCAAATGCGATTAACGAAAACACTGCAAAACCAGGGTCCCGGAACACATGGGGTTTGACGGGCAAATGCAACGACCGCCTCATGCAAAGTCCACTATAACCTTTCTGGAGCCACCAATGAACGAAACGAGTTATATATTTTTATCGGTACCTGCGAAGTCAACGACTGCCCATGGCGACTGAAACCGGGATATCTTACAATATCGCCAGCAATAGCTGCCCTCTCCCGACCCATAGCTTCTCTGGCCAATGCAATCCATCTCCTCACCTGCTTTCCCATTCTCTCCTCCTATCCCGCCCCCACAGGAGGCCCGCTAATTCAAATTCAGACCGAATCAATCACTAGGAAATTCCACTCCAACTCACCTGGAAACACGAAGACGGTACCGGCAACTGGAGACCGATCCGACTTCTGTGGCCTCCAGGCCAGGTGTTGCCGGCACAGGCCGTTCACCTATGGCCACCCTGTAGTGAGGGTGCTCCTGTGGAAACCCGACCCTCACAGGCAGGAGACAGCCCCGCACGGCTCGCACGGTATCCCCACACGCGGCGGCGACCCGCACTCGACTGCCCAGAGATTGGGTGATTGGACCGCTTGCTCCTGGCTCTACCTGCGGCCGGCGGCCGCCCAGACGACACGTGACCGGCAGGGGCGGCGCCAGGGCCCGCTGAGGGACGGTGACCGGTCTTGTGAGGTGGGGTGAGGATGTCATGGATGGACCGCCCGTATACGGACGGTAGAGCATGGGACCGTGAAAGACTGTTAAAATGAGACTCCTTGAATATGTGACGAGGTCCACCCATTGCTAAGTCAAGCCGAGTTGAAAAAATCGTAAGGGAATTTTTATCGTAGTTTCACTGGTCGCAGATAGCAGGATACGCATTTCCTTATCGAATACACACGCCTGTGATGAATTGGACGGCATTTATGACAGCCCCGAGCTATCGAGGATTGAGAGTGGCTGTGTGCTCGAACCACGGTTGTGGGCTGAGGAAAAGATCAGCCTCCAAAACCCAGACTCCGAAAGCATTCCCATAACAGGCAGCTGGAGCAGTGGTGCAGCTCTTTGACGGCTGCCGCGCCGCCTCAGCATCGAAGGATATTGCAGAAACCGTCTATGTTCACTGCATACCTACATCTCATAACGACACGGTTCATGGAAATGATGTAAATCGGGACTCGCAAAGCTGCTCAAAGAGCTCGACTGGACTAATTGCTCGTTTTGGATTTCAATTGAACTGTAGCAAGCAATCATGCTCATTCTCTTACTAGCCATACGCTAAAGAAATTATAAATATTATCCACCCAGTCGATAGGCGGTTGTGGAGCATTCAAGACCAGCAACCTAGCTCTGGTAGCCCCGTCTCATGAATATCGGCTGCGCCCGATAGGAGGTTCCACGTGTAGCCGTTTCCGAGTGTTTTTGCGCCTACCGTGCCTGGCCTGAGGCTACACCGTATACCAAGCTCGTAGCTGGTTTACGGTGAAAGTTGACTACAAATGGCATAATTTAGCTGGGACGAATGTTATTAATTGCAAAATTTCACGCCCCTGGCACAGTGTTCTCCTTCTAACTCAGCCTTATTAAGTGTGGACGTCATTCGATTTTCGGCTTTTTATCTCGCATTCTTCACAGACGATTTTCAGCAATCCAGCACAGCTGGAAACACTGATTAATTAATTTTATCATTAGTATAATTATCTAATGGACGTTGATCTTTCTTTTTAAAGCAACAGGAACTTGGTGTATTACGAGCGCTCCTTGACGGGCAACATACAGGAGCAATAAAGACAAAAGAGCCTTCGCTCATTCACAAAAGACACCAGCACCAACCCAGGGTAGGCATGAACCCTGAAGCATCGTATGCTGAGCCGATCCTTGACAGTAGTTTGTTTGCCGACAGATCCCACCCCGCGTATGATCTGTATGCCATGAAGGGGGACGGGGACGGATACCATGTAACCCGATCTCCACGGCCGTCGCGCGGTGAAGCCTCGCGGTGTCGGGAAGTGTAATAGGAGTAGCCGGAGGACCGATGACTGACCACATTCAGCGGATCTGATGTCCCGGGGTTCGAGCTGGTCCCGCAGAGGCCTGGTAAGTGCCGACTGAGCTACCGGAAGGGAACTAGGGTGGTCAGGGGCAGCAAGGGTACTGCGCCCACACGGTGGCATTGGTACAAACAGAAGTCTACCAACTGTTGGTGATGGTTCGTTGGTTGATTAATGATTATTCCAAGCTTGGTACGAAGCATAGCAATTGATGTCAAAAATACTGCTCGCTCAAATTGACAAGGACTTGCCAATGACGGCAATTATCATCAATTATCGTGCACGGGAAAAAGGAAGCCGTAAAAAGTCGGAATATAAGCGTGCCACATATCCAGTGTCATGCCAACATTTTGGACGCAAGCTTTCGTGCCGATACCAGGAGACACCAAGGTTGGATGACCAAACATGTATTTTCCTGACGCGTTAGTATCCATAAACATCAATAAGCAAGTGATGTCGAGGATGCATAGCATATGTGATAAAACAAAATACTTCATAAGGCTGTAATTTAGTGCAAAAATACAAAGTGCATGATGCTGTTTCAAGCGAATAGCGGACTCATGCCGTTCAATGACATTGTAAGCATTGTCGCACCAATGCTACTTACATAAGCGACTAGCAGCTGGCGAATCCGTGGTTACTTATGTAAGAAAACTACCGGATCGACTCAAATCCTTTGCGTGTGTCCTTGCAAGGAGACGTCATTTTACACGCTCAAAGTGCAGAGTAACACATCAATTTCAATTGGATTCGAACAAAGTGAGACTTGAGAGGGCCATTATAATATATGTACCGTTATACCGCTGCATGTTCCTACAGACACTAAAGCCCATGTAAGCAACAACCACATTGGAAAGTAATAGATCACGCTGATATCATCCACAATTCCACGATCTATGAAGATCACCCCTAACTATTTACGATCGACCCATTTTCAAACGGCACACGCTACCAAAACGAAACCCTTGTTGGTACATGTGGTTTACGACCAATTTTCATAGAAAAACTTTCCAGAAGAAGAATGAAAAACGCAACGTGCATCAGAAATGATACATTCTACGGGCTTTTTGAAAGATACGAGTGTACCTACCATTCATCGATATAAGAGTAAGGACGTTCAGTTACAAGCCAAGTAATTCCAATTGGCGAATTCGAAGCGATCGTTAAGGGTGAAATTCGCACCTCGACACAGGACTGATATTCCACAAATCACAGCAAAATAAATACAAACGCACAAAATAGACAGGCGACCGTTTTTCCACATCCCACCCACGCCCAAACACATCACATCATGACTTCACCATTTCACAATCTTATAAAAGCAAGAGTTATGAACTGCAAGATATAGTGTCCATTTTCCACCCAACTCCAGTCCTTTGAGGTCAGATATAACCAACTCTGCCAGATTTTCATCACTTTTTCGCCACAAAATTTTTGTGATAATTTCGCGTAAACTCGACCATCAGGTCCTGAGTGCATTCGGGAAGCTCACCGACAAAGCGGCCTGGGGATCCTTCGAGGCGCGCGAAGCAGGGCACCACCGTCTCCGGAGCTAGCACCGTGTTGTCGGCAATGTAGCAGCAGTCCTTGAGGATGCAGCGACGGCCCTGGGCGACGGACAGGCGGCAGATTGTCAGGAGGGAATCGGTGCACACTGGAAACCGTAAAAGACAGGCGGCATACGAAATGGTGTGGTACGAACTTCGTACTACGAACTTCGTACTACTTCGACGCTTCGTTCTACGAAGCGTCAGAGAATAAGGTCGTCTTCAGCACATGATTTCGAAAATAAATAGCCGCTGGTTTAAGTGAAACTTGTCCCTAAACAGTATAATCACGACTTGCGCACTTACATTCAGATATTTATTTTATGTGCGGCTTAACACGACGCTACACGATAAAAACCAAAATTAGCTCACCGGCTCGAATAGGTTTTCCGTGAGCAGGATGCTCTAAGCTTACTTGATCAATTGTTTTTTTACGTCCATTTCCCTAACGTGAATAAAAACGTTGCTTGTGTAAAAGTAATAATTCAAACATAAAACAATGCATAAATGAATTTCGCGGTCGCAGGTACACATTTCATTCGATTTAGCGCCTAAACCTGACATTTGGACATTTCAACATTGCTCTTACATCAACCCTGAGCCTTTAGAGAAAAGCGTAGCAATAAGATCCACCCCTTCGCCAGAAACCTTTCGGCGTTAGCCGTTATTTTTACAACAGTAAAAAGCCACCTCTCATTCTCAATTGTCAGTTTAGGAAAGGCCCACTTTCTCCCTCTCGAAAGAACTCACAATGACGCAGTTGTTGCCGATGTAGACGTAGCTGCCCACGGAGGCGGCATTCACCACCGAACCTTCCCCAATGAACACGTGGTCGCCGATGTGGGTGGGGAAGAAGGCCACGCCCTTGCTGAACTTCTTGAACGGGGGACGCAGCACCGCCTTGCGCCCCACGATACAGTATCTGAAATCGATGAACAGGGAATCGAGGGAGATTAGCTTTAGAGAGATACTCAAGTGACTAACGAACACGAACTCTGATGTGCAACGCAAAAAGCACGTAAGTCGAATGTAGATTGTCTTGATCTTTGCGCTTTAAAATTGGCAGTATCTTGTATCAACAAACTTATATTCACACGGTAAAATACAATTTGTCGGCGAATCATTTCACAAATCAAGCCCATGAAACCAAACACGGCTAATTTCTCTCGCTCTCGATCATATCAAGCGAACGCCGACCAACGATAACGTCCCCCATAGCGACATGCACACCATCTAGCGGCGTAACACTGACCTTCCAGTTCTTATGCTGGCCAGATCGCCGCGTATGATGGCGCCAGCGTCAACAATGTTCTTGCCGGTCAGAATGGTGTTTTGTGATCCACAAAGGACCGACTGGCGACTCACTTTGTTGCCAGTCGTCTGAGAGGAAAAAACACAGTGAGCGAGCGATGATTGAGAGGTATGTATCTCAGGACACAGATGAGAATGGGAATAGAGGTGAATGGAATTTAACAAGAGGATAAGAGCTGTGGCAAGGCAATTCAATGAACAGAGAAGTTGTATGACAATCATATGTACTTAGAACTGTGCAATAAAAAATATGACCATACAGCAGGCTGAGAGACAAATGGCTGTTTAATGCCTCGGTAGTTCACTGCTTGATGCTGGCGTTGGAAACACTTTGTCAATCAGAATCAACTACAGGGTTTGCTCATCTGTTCAAGCCCTCACTTTAGCCCGCTTGGCTCAGAAAGTCCAGCTTAAATGTTAAAGTAAAATCATTATTTTGGAGACATGTCAGATCATCATTTTGGAGACATGTCAGGCCTCAGATAAGCTATCTGAGGCCTGGGGAACAAACAGGTAACAACCATAAAAAGTTTGAAGGACTGGTAGAACTTACAGTTTCAATGAAGCTTCCTGGTTCATAGTGAATGGGCTGTAGCTCCATGATCAAACCAGTATTTGTCACCTTTTCATGGAAGCTGTGAAACAGGAAATATCTAATCAGACAACAAAATGGAATAAAAAACTCAGGACACAAAAGAGTCAACAAAGTGAGCAGAGAAAAACTGTCTCAATCACAAGCATCAAGGTTATTTAATGTCATCTTCCATCACCTTTCTTCTAGATTTCTTTGGCACCTAGATGCCACATTACAATAAAATCTTAAGAAGCAAGTGGCTGATAGCATGTAAGCTATTCAATGCTGTGGCATTAGCACACTGACCACAGACCATGATAACATTTTATAATTTTTATTTGAAGTGGGGACAGCGGTACATTTTCAAACCTTGCAGATACCAATAGGCAATGTGGATATATTACTAAATAAAAAATAAGGATACATCTTTCTGAAAATATTAACACTAGACAGTTAACTGATACTCATTTTGCCAGCATTCTGGCACAATACCTACTTTACAAACTTTGGAAAGAGGCAAACATTTCAAAATAAAGCATGAACTTTCTTGACATAAATGTAAAATAAGGAAAGCTCAAAGAACAAATCAAACCACACTAAAATCTAGTCATCATTATACTTACGTTGTTTAGGCCTTTAACTGGAAATTATTCAAAATACATTAAAAGCGGAAGCAAGATATGATCCATTTCTGATGTTCACCAACCATTTCATTTGTACAGAGGGGTGTTCACGGGCACCGCACACTGCTGCGTGCGGTGTGTGCGGTGCGTCCAGCAGGCGTGGGGGTAGGGGATGGGTAGCCGGTTCTGACGTCACGGCTGCATGCGGTGGACGGTCCGCTGTGGCCAGTCCCGACCGGCCACAGCGATCGCTGTGTGCGGTGACGGAAGGCTGACGTAGGGACGCAGTGGGCGGAGCTTCGAGGCTGTGTGCGGTCCGACCGCACACAGGGCCCGTGAACAGCCCTCAGAAAACATGCATTGATGTGTATTGACTAATGAGGATGAACAGAATAAAAGAACATTTATATTTATTTAGATCTCAGGCAGGTCAAGGTCTGAGGTCAGCTAACACATTTCAACAGCGCTGAAAGGGCAGAATCATTTTAAGCTTAGATTACATTTAGGTATCATTGAAAAGATAATTTTATTTTTCATAATTTGCCATGCACACCAGCATACCTAGATACCTATTTTCGATAAAAATGCCGTAAATAGAAAACCACACCCACAAGCCACCAAAAGCTTACCGCGCCGTTTATGTCACCAGTGTGCCATATCTGAGTCTGACTACATTCACGCTCGTCAAATACGGCTTACTTTAGACCTCGGTTTGGGGTTTGGACAATACTACCATCATGGATGAAGGAGAACCTGGATTGGAAACTAACAGCTGATTGCGTTGCCTTCGGTAAGTGCCCGATGGCACGCGCGGCGGCAGCGGGAGCCGCGTCTGCCGCGCATTCACTGGCGCCGCGTAAGCGTTCACCGGCGCCGCGTAAGAGAAAAACACTAGAAATGGCCCTCTTTTTCAAGGTCGCCTGTATTCGGCCCTCGTGTACGACTTTTGTGCGGAACGTACAATAATAGTTTTGGTCTCATTCGATAGCCTGATCAATTTTGTCTGTCGTTAATAGCTTCTAAACCTAAAAATAAATCCGCATTGCGGTCTAATACCCGTTTCAAAACATGCCGCCCCGCGTCCCCCATAGGCCGTGGCGGGAGTTTCCAGTCCCGATACTTACCGAACGCTAGGTGGCAGGTCGATCGCCCGGAACGCTGCCCGTAATGTTGAAGATTACGTGACAAAAGATCGTAAGACAAAAGATCGTATGGAAAAAGATCGTACGAAAATGATCGTAAGATAAAGATCGTATGTTGTAAAAGATCGTACGGAAAAAAGATCGTAAGCAAAAGATCGTAAAGCAATTGATCGTATGAAAAAGATCGTACGAAAATGATCGTATGATAAAGATCGTATGTTGTAAAAGGTCGTACGACAAAAAGATCGTAAGCAAATGATCGTAAAGCAATTGATCGTATGAAAAAGATCGTAGGAAAATGATCGCAATATAAATATCGTATGTCGCAAAAGATCGTACGACCAAAGATCGTAAGATAAAGATCGTATGCTGTAAAAGATCGTAACTTTAAGTTGGTAAAGTAAATAATCGTATAGAATAGTGTTGTAGGTAGGTAAATGATTGTATAGCAAAAAGCCCGTTAGTCCCAAAATATTCTACGAAAAACCGTCACGTGCGTGTGCTGCTGTGACCTGTGGTGTGCCCCTGTTGGGGTGCTCAAGTCTTATTGGGGGAGCTCAATCAAGCATTTGGGGTGCTGAAGCAACCCCAATGATATATAAATTCACCACTTTGTATAAAAGATATAAAAACTAGAAATATTTATAATGTCATGTGATCCACGAACTTCGAAAATTTTCATGCCCACAATTATATCAAGAAATTCACATTTATGAGAGCGTGTGGATTTTCAAAAAAAAAAAAAAAACATTGGGGCGTCAGAAGCATAGGTGTGCCCCTCACAGCTGGGTGCGCCCCCAATGCCAGAGTATCAGTTTTTCAGTTTTTTTTTTCAGAGTTTCACATTTCCCAGTACCAATAATATCGTAGGCACTATCATTTTAGTGGGTTATTAATAATACATCGAAGACATCGATAAATCAATAATAATCCTCTAGAGCTTGTTTCAAGATTTGCATTTTGCAATCGTGGTTGCGGAATATCATCAACATGATTACGTGACAAAAGATCGTAAGACAAAAGATCGTATGGAATCGTACGAAAATGATCGTAAGATAAAGATCGTATGTTGTAAAAGATCGTACGGAAAAAAGATCGTAAGCAAAAGATCGTAAAGCAATTGATCGTATGAAAAAGATCGTACGAAAATGATCGTATGATAAAGATCGTATGTTGTAAAAGGTCGTACGACAAAAAGATCGTAAGCAAATGATCGTAAAGCAATTGATCGTATGAAAAAGATCGTAGGAAAATGATCGTAATATAAATATCGTATGTCGCAAAAGATCGTACGACCAAAGATCGTAAGATAAAGATCGTATGCTGTAAAAGATCGTAACTTTAAGTTCGTAAAGTAAATAATCGTATAGAATAGTGTTGTAGGTAGGTAAATGATTGTATAGCAAAAAGCCCGTTAGTCCCAAAATATTCTACGAAAAACCGTCACGTGCGTGTGCTGCTGTGACCTGTGGTGTGCCCCTGTTGGGGTGCTCAAGTCTTATTGGGGGAGCTCAATCAAGCATTTGGGGTGCTGAAGCAACCCCAATGATATATAAATTCACCACTTTGTATAAAAAAGAAATGAGAGATATAAAAACTAGAAATATTTATAATGTCATGTTATCCACGAACTTCGAAAATTTTCATGCCCACAATTATATCAAGAAATTCACATTTATGAGAGCGTGTGGATTTTCAAAAAAAAAAAAAAAAACATTGGGGCGTCAGAAGCATAGGTGTGCCCCTCACAGCTGGGTGCGCCCCCAATGCCAGAGTATCAGTTTTTCAGTTTTTTTTTCAGAGTTTCACATTTCCCAGTACCAATAATATCGTAGGCACTATCATTTTAGTGGGTTATTAATAATACATCGAAGACATCGATAAATCAATAATAATCCTCTAGAGCTTGTTTCAAGATTTGCATTTTGCAATCGTGGTTGCGGAATATCATCAACATTTTAGGAGCAAAAAGTGGTGCCGCAACCTTTTGCTTTCCAGCACCCACCCCCTCCCCTACCGGGCGCCGCGAGTGGAATTGCGAGGGACACCACAGGTCTAACAGAGGCACCACAGACCTGGCAAGGGCACCATCAACCTCGCAGGGATACGTTAGGCCTGTCAGATGCACCACGTGCCAGTCGGGGGCCACTTCAGGATCGTCACGGGCACCAAAGTCCTGTCAGAGGCCAAGGACACCAGCGGCCCAGCAGGGGCACCACAGGCTTGCCAGGGGCACCACCGCAGGCCTGTCAGGCACCACCGTCCTTGCAAGGGCACCATAGGCCTGTCAGGGACACCACCAGCCTCTCGTTGGCACTTCAGGCTTGTCAAGAACACTAAGGGCCTACCGGGACCCATGTGCAAAAAAAAAAGAAATGAAGCAACACCTAAATGAAGTGGTCGAAAAAAGATTTGAGATCGGTTGAGTTTTTTTTTTTTGGCTTACGACGGTCACTTACTACCCGAACACAGAATGAGCTTTGCATGCGCTGGAGTTGGGCTGCACCATGTGAATACCATATTTTGACTGTACGATCTTTAACCCATACGATCTTTTGACATACGATCATTTTCCTTGACGATCTTTTGCGAATACGATCTTTTGTCCATACGAGCATTATGTCGTACGATCTTTATCCATTACGACTTTTTGGCATACGATCATTTTCCTTGACGATCTTTAGCGAATACGATCTTTTGTCCATACGAGCATTATGTCGTACGATCTTTATCCATTACGACTTTTTGGCATACGATCATTTTCCTTGACGATCTTTAGCGAATGCGATCTTTTGTCCATACGAGCATTATGTCGTACGATCTTTATCCATTACGATCTTTTGCATACGATCAACTTCCTACGATCTTCTGCCATACGATCTTCTGCTTTACGATCTTTTGTCCGGTTACCAATGTTGAAGGAATAGGAGTTTCCTATCCAGGTTCTTTCATCCATGCTACCATGGATGAAGGAGAACCTTTCTTTTCTTTCATCCATGATACTACTCGACCACCGCGCGCTGAGACTCAGCCGATCGGAACAAACGAAACCAAATTCGAATCAGAGCCCAGACTCCAGAGTATACGATTTTATTAGCCGTTTCGAATATAGTGACCTCAGGTAACACTGGTGACCACGAAAGGTCAACTTCATGTTTTCGCCTGTAGCAGCCATTCGATAACTCAAAAACTACTGGAACGATCGAGAAGAAAGCACCACGACTCACGAGTCGATTCTACGTTTGCGATTTCATGAGCCGTTTCGAAAATCATATGGTGACCTCAGGTGAACTCGGTGACCTTGGGAGGTCACAGAAACATTTTCGCCTATGGCACCCATTCTATAACTTCGGATCTACTGTACAGATCCATACGAAAACACCACCACTCGATTCGTCGTAGGTAGGTAATAGGTATTGTATTTACTTACCTATGCAATTTCACCAGTCGCTTCGCATATGGTGATTTTAGATAAATTCAGTGACCTCGAGGACCCAGCTTGACGTTTTCGCCTATTGTAACACCACTAACCACCCCATAATCTACCAACTATTGGGCCGACCGAGACCAAAACGCCACCAGGTAATTCACCTTATGTAGTTTTAATAGGCGTTTCGAATAAAGCAAACAAGGTTAACCCGCGCCGGGCCGGTGCTCCGTGACTTCCGCGCCGGGCCGGGGGGTCTGAACACCTCCCCCCCGTCTAACTCGGCTCCTGGGCCACGAAGCGAAGCGTGTATGAGGCATTCGAAAGAGCGTCAGAAATAATGACGGAAACATTCAGTCATTTTTTGCAGGTCAGCGTCAAAGGTCAGGTCGCTCTGTCGCCAGACGCCAGAGGTCATCAAAGGTCAAATTTAGTCCATTTTAGCAATTTTGGAAACTGCCAACGGCTTGCTCGGAAACCAACAGAGGTACAGCGTCGCGGAAAAGCGCATTCGATAGCCATTTAAAAGGCCTTTCTGGTCTTTGTTCTCAGATTTGACCTCAGGTCAACGGTTTAGGCTCCAGAGGGCAATAACTCAAAAAATGGTAGTTCTTACTGAAAAACGTTTTTCTGAATAACTTTTGACTCAAGACAGTCACGAAATTTATTTTGCTCGCATCGTGTTCCCCTCAATGAGACGCGTCGAATGAACTATAGGTATATAATTTAACCTTCAAAGGCCATTTTGAAAATTTAACCTTAGATCAAGGTCATGACCTGACTGGAAAAGGTCATGCTGCATATCAGTCGATCCGTATCGTCGAGCTGATCACTTCTGAGGTGTTTTTATTGCTCTATTATGCCTCTATCAAAAGTTATTGTAAAAAACTGCTGGGAACCTTTAATGACCTGATATGACCTCAGTGACATAGGGAGAGGTCACGGGTGCTGTTTTTCGATTCAGCTTGTCAAGTTTACCTGTAAATCGATGTTAGGTCGCGGGTTTCGTCGATTGGTTTACCCTCGACAAACTTTGCTATTTAACCTCATTACACAGTAGCGGGCTCCAAGGGAAACGGCTTCCCACTACCGAGCAATTCCGAGAGGGACATAAGAGGTCACTCGCATTTAGCCTATTCAAACAAAGTCTGTAGAAACGCTTGATGAACTTGAGATCCACTTCTTATATAAGGTTCGGTCGTACCATCTGAAAAAAAAACAACACAAGATCGTTTTCTTCTGTCTTTATTACTAAAAACATTTCCGAGCACGCAATGAATGTGGTCATGTCAATGCATAAATGGTACCAAAAATATGTAAAACACAATGGTCGGTGCTTGACATTTTCATTGCATCGCACATGACGTACAAGACTCGGTGTGATTGTATTTTCTGTAAACCTTCTTCAGCACACATGGTGTGCCTTGATGAACATTTCTTTCATCTTTTTTATCAAGGAAGCACCTCCTCGCGTTTGTCTTATGCCGGCCAAACCTACAAAAGCCAGTCTTTCTTGCGCCGCCATCTGATCTACATATAGTCTAACCCCAACAGAGGTCAGACTCCTTCTCTTGTAAGGGTCAGACTCCTTCCTCGTATGTCACGAATGTCAGTCTCCGTCCTCTACAAAGGTCAGACTCTGTCCTCAGTGCGAAGATCAGAATCCTTCCATCGCAGGGTCAAACCCCTGACCCTACGTCTAGCCGAACTGTCGGTTATTGAAGCGGTTGCCACTGACAGCGTTGAAGCCCTGGGGCACTGGAATGGCGATGTTCTGACTGATTGCCTGAGCGTGGTTCACGGCGATATTGGTGCCAAAAGCGCCGACCTGTCGAGAGAGGAATACAGCGCGGTCAGTGGTGATAAAACTGGTGACAGCGGTAGTTGGTGATGCAGACTGGTGATAGGCACAGACTGGTGGGGACATGGATAGGTGAGAACGGTCGGTTATGGTGATAACGGTTAATTATGACACAGATTGGTGACAGTGACGACACATGCTGGTGACAGCGACAAGTGGTGACATGTATTGGTGACAGCGAGTAATGGTGAAACAGATAATAAAAACAACTGGTGACAGTGGATTTTGGTGACACGGAATGGTAGAAATGGGCGGTGCTGTGACACAATACAATGACCCGATCAGTGGTGATTCAGACTTGTGAGTGGTGACGACTGCCAGCGGTGACTCTAAGTGGTGAAAGAGATCAGCGGTGACAAACTGGTGACAGTGGCCAGTCGTGACACAAACAAGTGACATGACATATGACAGCGGTGAAAAAGACAGGTGACAGAGCTGTCTTTTATGACACACAGTGGCGCAAAGTGGCGATAAGTTTCGGTCATAGTACACCGTCATGGGAGGACAGCCAAAACGACTGGGGACTCCAGCATTCCAAATGTATCGTACCGTTCTTGGAAAGCCCCTATGAGCGGAAGGGCGTCTCCATTGACCTTGGGATGACCTCAAACTGGTCCAGCCCGCCTCATGACGTCACTTATCAGCTGACGTCATCAGCTACTGAGGTTTTAATGAGCGAACACAGGAACCGGACTGGTGAGATGGAGGAATAATGTGAGCTGGTTTCCGTGCTCGTTTACATAGAACAGGGGCATCGTTACGGCTGTTTATTATTGTTCGTGGGTTAATGTTGGTCTTTGCGCTATTCTGTTTTTCTCAGTGCATGCGGGTATACGAAGTGTGTGGTAGAATGCGGCATTATTTTCGCTATTTTATTATATCATGTTGCCGAAGTGCCATTATTCTTAATGACGCTTATTCATTCTTAATGAATGAATGATTAATGAATGAATAAGAATATAATCATTCTAACTCATAAATGGTTATGACTTATGATATTAAGTTTCCCCAGCGAAGCCCGTTTGAAAAAAAATTAACATTTTACATAGAAAACTATTTCATTATGTTTTCGTTTGTCTCATAAAACTGTGAAGTCACGCCCGGTGCAATGGTATTGAATAGTTTCAAAGGAGCGATACCTTCTAACAAAAAAATCCTTTTACATAACCAGCGTAGTCTTGGGCCTACTTCTGTCACCTCAAACCACAATCTACCGTGACATGAAAACTTGAGACATCTGAAAGCGCATGTTCAAATCTTTATATAAGACCTTACATCATTGTAACTGGTTTAGCTCAATATTGCAACAAACGACCATGTTCTGAGTGATGAATTAAACCTGGCTTTCGTTACCAATAATGCCTTTTAGGGCGATCGTACCTAATAGGATTGAAGCGACATTTGACATCACGACAGTGAACCCACCCGAGAGCAAAAACTGTCAGAATGTCAAAAGTTGATTCATAATCTGCGGCTACTGACCTACGTGCATGGGCATCACGTTAACCTGATAAGGCAGATGGGGCCTACGCGACTATTGGCCAATCCAGACGTTTTAGTTATCCACGCTCGGGGTACGAATGGATGCGCGTGCTGTGTGTGGGGACTAACATTTTTGAAAACGGACATTTCAGTAGTTCAGCGGGCTTCCCAAAAATTACTTTCAGATTCCACACTTGTGACTTGTTTTGTCCGTGTTACTGATGCTATGGTTGCGTGTGTCTCTGGTTATAATTTGATTGTGTACATTGTGCGTTAAAATAAAGGCTAATTCTACCTGAAAAGGCTAAATAAACGGCAAAACACACATAGTTATGTAGGTAGGTACGCACCGATCAGCACAGACACTCACCGAGTTACTGGAAGCCAGCGCCAATCCGCCGTTGAAGCTGAGCGTATCCGGACGGTTCTGGTTGACGTTGGTGACCTGAGCGCTGACATTATTGACGGAAGGCCGACCTCGGTTGGAAACCCCTCCGAAGACTGGCCGACGACCAAACTGAAGGAGCGCGGGCGACCGGTTATGCTAACGAGAAAAAGGCCGCTCCAGTTCGATACGGTGTCTGCATACTGAATCAGGTGGTTAGGTATCTCCTCAGGGTACGAATGGACGCGAGTGATGTGCGGAAATCGGAACTTTCTGGGAGCATTCCGTTAGTTGGGCTTCCCGAAAATTACTCGCAGAGTAAACGGCAAAATCGTATAGTCTAAACGTTATTTTATTACATTTCCGTCTCAATTATTGTTTCGTAGTCAACTCACATGAATTGACCTGGGTGCGTGATTGGACCTATGGGTTCAATCGTCAATTAGAATCAATAATTAAACAAGTGGAAACACTTTTCAGGTCAGTAATCATGTCCCTTTAACGCTTACGCTAAAACATTTCAATTTACAGTAAATCAGTGTAGCAGTGGACATGTATCATGACGTCGCTACGGAACCCTCAGACAACGGGTCACGAGCATCGGACGGGATTCTGGCTGACAAAGCTGTATCTTGATCGTACAGTCCATACGTGCATCAAACTTCACTCAATATACCCTGCATCAAACCGCCCACGGGCCTTGCGCCCACGATAGGATGTGGAGGTGGATCTTACCTGAGGGGCAGGGGCCGCCACCGCCGCACAAACCAAAGCCAAAAGTCCAAATGCGACCTTCATGATTAAACCTGTAATAACATGACAAGTTTATTAACGAGAGCAGACGGTGTATGCATAGATGATGCGAATAAAACCAAAGATATTTATTAGAAACAAACATTTGCCAACATACAGGTTACAACGGATACAATATAATACACAGATAGCTAACGCTAAGGCTCAGCTAAACACAATATAGCGGAGCACTGGGTCACACCGCGCACCAGGTAGGGAGCCAGCTCTGGGTCGGCCAGAGGATTCCGGCTCAGAGCGAGATCTTGTGTTTCAAAATTGGCCCTCATTTCCTCGTACATTTTTCTGTACTTTGCCAGGCGAGTTGAGATTGGACTGATGGATTTTGGGGGTGATGGCGCTATATCGTGGTGGCCGGTTGGTGTATGGTATGCTGTAAGCGTGTCGTGACTTTCAGATGGAGATGGTGCTGATGCTGGGTTGGGTGGAGCTGGTGAAAGTGTCAGAGGGGGTGTAAGAGAGAAGTTGCGAGTGTCATGTTTAGTATGTTGTTTTTGTGCGTAATGGAAAGCTGGTGCACGGGATGGTAAGGCGGAGTGGGCGGAGCTCACAGTGGAGGAAAGATAAGCAGAACCTCTGATTGCCACTGCGTTTCCGCGAATGATGGCAATAGAGATTTTTTGCCATAACCAAGCCGTTTCGCGCCTCTCCCCGGTCACTGATGTGATCCTGCGGCCGAGTTCCTGGACTAGGCGGATGGCACTGGGACCGGCAACGCCTGATGTTTCGACCGCCAATGGGACGAAGAGATACTGGGCTGATAAAGAGGCATACCGCTGTACCTTTCGATCCTCGGCGGCCCGGGCCGCTGATCCCGGTTTTATTGCCGATTTTGCCAGGCTGCTGTCAGCAAAGGTATCGGTGCATGTCGCATCCCAGGCTAGGCATTTTCCACCTTTAAAAGGGAATGTGGTAAGCCCGTCAGGACGCTTGCCGTCACCTCTGTCAAGTCCCGTGGGCTCGAGGACGGACGGGATGCCAGATGCAGCGAGGCTGCGCTTCACCAAATCGTTAAGCTCAGCGTGGCGGGGAAACCGACCAGCACTTTTGCTGCAGGATAGGGCGTGATGTCCCAATCTGTCGACCGGGCAGCTACATAGGCGACAGACATGTGGCTCACATATAGGGGCGCCAAGACGGAGAGCTACCGCTATCCTAACAGATTCCGGGTCCAAAAAGAGGCCAAGGCTGGGGACCGGTACTGCTTGTAGCCATGCCGCTGTGTGAGGCTGGCAGGCGGCAAGTAAACGAGCTCTGTGGACTTGATTTGTTTCGCGGAGTAACTGTTTGCAGCTGGCCTCCGATGCCAGGTCGTCCCAAGCCCTCTGCTGCCCTGGTGCAGAGGGGTCGGGGAGCGTTGCCTCTCCGATTAAAGGAAGGAGTCGTTCAAGAGCGGGTTTTCTGGCCAGTATGGCGTCGTACCTGTTCCCTTGATTGCTGAGAATCGAGGATACCAGAGAGGACGCTTCAGTCAGAGATGCCAAGTGGCAGGGAATAGCTAGCCGTTCAACTGATCTAACGCCTAGACCCCCGTACCGGACCGGGAGGGAAGCCTGTTTCCAGGCTTGGTCTCCTAGACTAACATTGCAGGTGTCTGTGAGGGCCGACCGCATAAGGGCGTCAATGGCCTGCAATCCTGTGCTGTTTAAGTACATGGGACTAGATCGCAGGAGATATTGTAGCCGGGGCGCGGCAATGTAGTGGGCTAAAAAGAATAAGGCTGTGTGAGTGTCAAGGGAGCGGATGCGGCTACAAAGTGTCTTTATCATATCATGGGCAGCGTCCGTGGCAGTGACGATGCTGGATTCGTGAAGAGGAGAGCCCAGTAAGGTTAGGCTGTGCAAGGGAGTTTCTACTATCCCAGGGAAATAACTTTTTAAATCGTCAATAGCGGGGGCCCGTTTGTCAGCTAGCCGATCACCCAGAAGGGTGAGCTCGCATTTGGAGCTGTTTAATTCGAGGCCAAGACAAGGTAATTCTTGGCGAAGCAAACGGAGGTCGGACGCGACGACACTGGCTGACCCGGCAAGAGTTGCGTCATCAAGATACCAGATATTCAATGGTGATTGCAGGCGTCTTGCGCAGGAGTCGACGGCCAAGGCAAAACCTATTGGGCCGAGCGGGTCGCCTTGCTGTACACCAGCGTTGGACATGATCACGTCGCCTTCTATGTATAGGGGGGTGGGTGTACTGTATGATTGATACAGAATACGGTACGTTTCTGGGCAACGATCGGCTACACTTTTGAGCATAACATCTCTTCTGATAGTGTTAAAGGCATTTCGCACATCCACTTTAACCAGTACAGAGGGTGCGGAGGCATCTTGTGCGCGATAAATGCACTCGCGAACCGCGTGGACGGCTGCTTCACAGCCTAAGCGGGTCCCCACCCCTAGCTGGATCGGTCTGAGCTCCGGACCAAGGACACTTGACATGTGGTGTGCAGCAATGCGGCAAGCCAGGCGGCGAAAAACGCTACCTACGGCAATGGGGCGTAGACCACCGTCCTTCTTGCGGAGGGCAAAGAGGGCAGCACCATAAAAGGCGCCGTGAGCACACTCCGGTATGCGTCCCGCCAGCGCTAGATTGGTTAGTGCGGTTAAAGATGTCAGAAGGCGGCGGCCCGGCTCTGCAGCGTGGGTGGAGATGAGCTGCCGTAGGTGAAGCGGTCTTACTCCGTCCAGACCTCCAGCTGAACCAGTCGGCATCGTGTTGATGGCAGAACGGACCTGTTCCGTGGTGACTTGTAATGGAGGGAATCGGTCGTCCTGCGGTGCCGGAGGGAGTGCTTCGTCGAGAGGCGCTGATGGGTGTTTTTCTTTGAGAGATTGAAGTACATCGTAGCTTGGCTTAACAAAATCGTCTGTAGACGTCAGGGCCCTTAATGCTGCTTTTATGTCGCCGTCTGCGCACTTGGAGAGTACCCGGTGAGCAAGACGGTCATCTGAAGAGGGCTGATGGTTTGACCGTCGATCGTTGGTGGGCGAGGGATCCGCACCCGTCTCGAAGCGGGAGATCTGGAGTTTGATTGTGGTCGCCGCCGACTGACGCCGCTCGCCTGTTGCTTTTGCGGGTGCACGGAGAGCCCCAAAAGCGAAAGACAATAGGCGGTGCCATGTGCTGAAATTCCGTTCGGAAATTGCCTCGTCAATTAGCTTGGCTAGACAATCGGCGGCAGCGATCCGAGCAGCTTTCGGTATTTGTTTGATGACGACAGTAGCGCGCCTTAGCTCGGCCAGGTACTCGGCAAGGTCAGCTGGCTCTGTACCCGCCGGCGACGCGTTGCTCTGCTGCAATGGATCAGCATGTGTGAGAGTCGCTGCTCCAAGGCAGGTTCTGCAGTGCCATATCCTGAGAGCACGTGCTTGGGTCAAAGTCAGCTTTGCGCAAGACGTATGCCATCGGTCTCCGCAGGCGCGACATATTATCGCCGCCTTCCTGGTCGACTTGCTCGGGCAAGCAGCGCAAGTTAGATCGGTCGTAGCTGACTGGTCTTGGGAGGTGCTCTTTTGCGTTTTGGGGCCTGGGTTCAACTCGATGTCACCTGCCAAAAGCACTGAGCAGCTAAAAGTGATCCGCCCGTGCTGTCTGGTGGCAACGGAGTTCGCACTGTAGGAGGCTCGGCGTCTGAAGAAGACGGTCTTGATTTTGCCAACTTTCAAGGCATGGGCCCCTTGAAACGGTAAGAAACATGATGTGTAGTCTCGGTCCGTTGGGGATAGGTTTTGCCGCAAACACAGGCAGGTGAGAGGCAGTAGGATGACTACGATGAGCCGCAGCGAATACGAGGCCGAAATGGGATCCGGTCTTGGGCGTTGCATGACGCCAGTGGTGGTTCAGCCGCGATGGACTTGCGACCCAGAAGCAGGGAGCGTCAACTAGCGGCGAGAGCAAAAGTGAACCTTATCACTTCAGGCAAAAACTGCTTGGGCGACTTGAACAGTGAGGCTTCAACGTTGAATTAATACCACATCTTCGGTATGCGACGAGCTTAAGCAACAACGTCACGTTCTTCGTGCAAAGAAAATAACGCGAGCCGGGACTACGCTGGTGGCCGACGAAATTGCAACAAACATCAATTATTAAAACATTTCAACAATAAAAGTCCGCTACTCACGGTGAACCTCCTTGCGGCCCATGGCAGAAAAGATTTCAGAGTTTCATCTTTTAAACATCACATATCATGAATATCGGTTCCAGTCTTGGACAAATCGATTGAAAATGGCGCCAAAAACCGTCGCAGTGCGTCACTTGCGCCGAAGTAAAAGGGTTATATGTCTTTCCGTCTATATATAAGATTGCGGGCAAGTTTCAGCCGGCCATGGTGCTCAATTGACATAAGAAAAACAATTAATTCACTGACAAGTGCGAAATATGCGTAAATATATGACAAATAAGGGACCGAGCGAGGGGCTGTTGATCCTTCAGCAGCTCAACCGTGTACATATGCGAATAAAATATATGTAGGTATTATATAATACTGAACGAGGCCGGTGTAAATAAATTTTCAAGACCGAGGTCCTTACTGGATTTTTGAACGAGGCCGAAGGCCGAGTTCAAAAATCAGTAAGGACTGAGGTCTTGAAAATTTATCATCGGCCGAGTTTGGTATGTATTTTACTGTATGCCAACGATAAATTTATTTTCTGGACCGAAGCTCTTAGCCGACTTAGGAACGAGACCATCCCAAAATGTTGGCTTAAGTGCATTCTGGTAATGCATTTTTGACCGTGGTCAATTTGCTTACACCAGTTATTACCACACCCCTCTGGCTAATGTATTTGAATAGGCCAGGCATACAGTAAACGGCATAACTCGCTAAAAATAAGCAGTTATTTTCATTAATGATTGCCAGGAGGCAAGCCGAGAAAAGCAAACATAAATGTACAACCGCCTCAGACCAATGTTCTTCCTAGTTACTATGTTTCCATTGTTCGCAATGGAATAGAACGCAATGGAACTCATGCTGACAACCCATTCTTTCAGCCTCGGCGGATGAGTCATTTACAAACGAGGAAGAGAATGAAGGACAGAGCATATTGCTACTCATCTTACAGCCGCTCCGGCCTTGTAATTCAGGTTAGCAACGGTGTCCAGCCGCCACTTGTCATACAAATAGGTGGGACCGTTGTGCAAGAATTGAAGTTGCGACACATCTTGCAATCGTTCATCTAGGTCGCAGTCATTTCACGGCAGACCCATCCAATAAAGGGAGCCACTTAACGTTCTTTAACGCTGCATAATGAGCTTTCATGCCGTTTTAAGCGAAAATCAATTGAGGGCTGATATTATTCGCTTTTCGGGGGAGGTAGAGAGCGTGACTCGTATATACCTACTTATAAACATATTATCATGGGACAAAACAAAAGTACAGACGACTCACGATTCAATAAGCCATCTTATCAAAGATATTTGACCTTAAATTCAGAATTTTTCCTTTTACCCGTGGAAGCCTATTTACATAAGCATAAATACATACGGCTTCAGCTTCCGGCCACCGAGACAGCTAATTAAATAAGCAAAATCGGAATAGAATCGGCAGATACCTGGCCAATGGTAGTCATCCACCAGAAGTTGGATTAAATAGGTACTCATTCTGAGAAGTAACAGTCTAAGTTTTCCAGAGTGGGGAAAAATCTGTTTCATTTTACGCCCTATTTGATTATCAGTATAGCTATGATGAGAAATGCAAAACAAAACAATTTTAACGAACGCCTAAGTTCATACCACACGATACATAGCAATCCCCCACCCTCAGCTCAGCCCCCAACATACCTGTGTCCCGGGGAAGTGTCGCGGTTGGCGGCCGGTCGTCAGTAGCTCTGCTCCGTCACTGACCAACGCGACCCCAGCCGCCGTGGTACGGAGCTCTGGCAGAGGGCCACCGGCCCAGCACTGGGAATTCCACCTGCGCCGCCCCGGCCGGCCGGTCCTGCCCTGGGGCGCTACGCGGCTCGTCACGCGGTCGAGCGATGGTAATCGGCACGTCATCGCCCCCAGGCCTCGCCTGTTTACCTCCGGGATGGGGTAGGCCGGTGTTTCTCTATCGTTCGTCACGGCGGAGATGACGCATTTCTTCCGAGGAAGAGTCAGAGAAAAACGATCACTACGGAGGTCCAGTCACACTTCAAGTGTGATGCTGCGCTCTTTGGTTTGAAACGATTATGGTCTGAAACAATTATTCAGCTATTGATTGTTCATCGGCTTTGGAGTTACAAAATTCTTACATTAGATGTTGATCTTAATATCATAAAACAGAGACGCGACAGTTGAAACTCTGGGTAAATGAAAATAATACGCGAAAGGCCACTCCTTCATGTAAAGTTACATCTATTCAACCAGAAAGCCCTTACCTAAGCACACCAACCAGCTGATATAATAAAACTTGGAAGCTAAAACATTGTTTAGAATAATAGCCCGCGAGTTGCTGGGGGGGGGGGGGCGTTAAACGCCCCCACTTTTTTCGCCGGGCCATAGCATAAAAACGGCGCGCCGCAGGCGCGCCAAATTTTGGGTACCTCTAGGGAATTGATTCAAGTTTATTGTGACAAAATTTCAAAAAAATCGGTCGGAAAATTTTTGAGATATCGAGGTTTTAAAGACGTCATGATTTCTGAGTTTTCGACCAAAAACGACATATGTTCAAAAAATCATATAAAATCACAGAATAGACATATAGACATGCCGTAAACGCCATTAGACTGCCAATACCATGAAAAATCAAATGGCTGTCTCCGATTATTGATTATCGTTCCGCATTTTCCAAAAACTTGAACTGAATCTTGGCAATTTCTCGTGACTACTTAAACCATGATACATGAATTTCTTAAATTGAACTTTTTGAGACAACCACGTACACATATGATAAAATGAATGTCACCATCGTGTTCTACGCTCCAAATTACCCATAAAACATGTGTCACAGGCTGCGAATATCAGTTTTGATTTTCGAGGATATGTGCCTACCCGGTTGACCTGACCTTGACCCTGACCTATGCTTGACTGACCCCTACATGGAGCTGACACTCTTGTAGGCCTTACATGATGGATTGTGCACCGTTTTGACAGAGTTTATGACGAGAGGCGCCCATTGCGAAGCCCTGAAGTCCATGCTACTGAAAGCCCGATTTCAGGTGTTTGACCTGACCTTGACCCGACCTGTGACCTCAAAATTCAACTTAAAAGTACTCATCTGAAGCGTCTCATCGCGTTCTTTCGTTTGCCGCCTCGTGCGTTTCGCTGCGCCTATTGGTTCTCGAGTTATCGGCTGGGGGCGTTTAACGCCCCCCCCCCCCCAGCAAACTGTGGGTGGCGAAATACCCCAGCAACTGCCGGGATAGGAGGTACTGTACTTTACTACTTACGTCTCACCTAAGCATAAATATCTTAGGGAGATATTTTTGTGGATTATACTTGCATATTTTGAATGCAGTTATATACCTTTATGAAGGCATATCGTTTAAAAAATGATCAATAAGATAAGGTACCTGCAATACCAAGTCTCGTGCTGTGTACTGAGGTACTCGACATTAATTTTGCTACGACGGGATGCAATGTATTTCATTATCACCTTTTTATTTGAGGCAAAATTAATTTTCAAATAATGTTTTGTTTTTTGATGTCCTTTGTTAACGTTATACATATTTTATAGAAATGTAGGCTGTATTATGCTTTCTTCTAAATGATTATACTTGTGCATTTTACATAAGAAAATTATAAAGCAATGACTTCCTTAGTAGGGGCATATTCTGTGTTATTTCTTACGTTTTGCCTTACTTGTGAGGGCTTCTACAGGAAACCATATGAGACCGGACCAACAACAACGTGAGTTTATCTTCTATCCTCAACTCTGTTTTATTGCTACGTTTGTTATGTGGCTGAAAGACAATATCTTCTACAGTTCGCGCTCATTTTGTACTCAAGTTTGTGAATTGATGTGTATTATATTTTGCTTTTAACCAACGCGATATCGCGAAGAAGATTATCTTTCAGTGACGTGTTGGTGAATCATATTTCGTCAGTTAGCTGCAAAATATTTGTAGTAATGCCAACACAAGGCAAGAGAATATGCGCGAATATTATTACTAAATCGGGCCAAGATTCACAAATCAATTTGAATATGTTAACTGCTATGGCTGATTATGTTGTGCCCTTGAGACCAGGACAAACATACCTAGTTGCATCGTATATAGGTAATTACTAATTACTAAGTCAATAAAAGTTAACTTTTTTTTGCATTACAGCCAGGTAATTCTACCGCCGAAACCACAAGGCACGCCGAAGCCGTTTATACCTGTTTCTTACAAGCCCGCCATCGACAATGGAGGTAGTACTTATAGTTGGGATACCAACATTATCTACGAAACTCTGGCTCCCGATGTACGAAGAGGAGGCAGAAATGACTACTACTCCACCGGCTGGGGTATCACGTTCAACATCTGGATTTGGATTGAAGTGGTTCCGTATACAGAGAACTACATCAGGTGGTACTTCAGGACGACTACTATACCGTCCGTAGTCGTGGTGTGGTGGTACACCACGGAGTACTATGGAAGCTGGGGACATCAAATTAGAGGTGAGAACCTACAACTGAACACTTTTCTGTTAATGAGCTACATGTATGTCCGTCGGAACTCGTTCGACCTATCACAGTGTGTCTTATGCCCTCTCTCTCTCTCTCTCTCTCTCTCTCTCTCTCTCTCTCTCTCTCTCTCTCTCTCTCTCTCTCTCTCTCTCTCTCTTCTCTCTCTCTCTCTCCTCTCTCTCTCTCTCTCTCTCTCTCTCTCTCTTTCTCACTCACTCTTACACACGATTGAAACAATCTCTGCTCATTTCTATGTGTAGCTCACAGTTCAATTGATCTTAACTCGTCCAAACTTCACTTGAGTGATGTCTCTACTCTGCTTTCATATTTCGTCTAAACCACGATTCTTATTGTTACCAACATCCTGTCTAAACATTTAACTTTTTCCTTTTCCAGCGTACGATGACCGAGTAGACGAGGTTCAAAAGAAGAGCAGTGGCCTCGAATACACTTGCTTCAGCTGGCAGAGAGGCTGTGACGAAAGCAGCCTGCTGATTGTCGAGAATTATCACTCCTCGGGCCGGATGAGGTCCATTGGAGGTGGAACCGATGGAACCGATAATACACTGATCGCCTTTATTGTCATCGCAGTGCTTATCGGAGGTAAGTGGGTAGATTAATTATGTTGATGTATTTGATCAACTAGTTTGTAGAATGTTTGATTAATGTAAGACAAAAATTTCAAAGAAGTGTCATTACACCGTCCTATATGGACATAACTTTATCAATGTATTAATGTAACGAATATGATGCAGTTTACGGTATTTTTTTATTGTTTTATCGGTCCAACCTTCAATTTATATCGCACTTTAATGCCACTGCTGATGCCCAGGTAAAATTCACAACTCCATGCGCCAGGTAGCGAACGATCGCTTGATTCTAATCCGTAATGCATACGTTTATCATATCGCCCATTTCAGAAACGTTCAAAGAAGGACTATCTCCCAAACAAAGTCAATGCTAACTGAGTCCTGTGCACCCGCAGCCGGCATCGGAGGAGTCATGTACTACCAAAAGAGAGCCGCGGCCGCCATGGCAGAGGGCGAGGAGGGCGAAGGAGAGGTGGACGGCGAGGCGAAGGAAGAACCAGCAGAGGGCGAAGAAAAGGTGGAAGAAGAGCCTGAATAGTAAACGTGCATACTGCATAACTTATTTTACCAAAGAAGTCCGATTTTACATTTTTATTTGTGCACCATAACGACACATTGTGCCATTACAACGAAAACATGGTTATAAAGTGTAATTCATTTACTTTTTATTTCAAGTGGAATAAATATAAGATATGCCAGCGTTTTCTATCAATAATGTAATGAAGTGAAATCGGAGCCGGGCCGTGTCGCATCGGTGTCGATATTACTTGTTTTACATTTAATTTTAGCCATCAAAAATCATTGACAGTTTTGTAAGAAAAAATTCAAAAGCTTATCGATATTGGAAAAGCCTAAACCCTCTAGTCGTTCTGTCTGCGTCAACATCATATCATGTACGTAAACACGCCAAAATAAAGTACAAACAAAAGAGGACCCAAGCCCAGCGTCTTTACTATATTCAAATAAAAAATGCCAAAAGTCTGTTGAAGTGGTTGCATGAACGGTCAACCTGAAGACAATAGCTTTAACACCTAAAAGTAAAAAAGGCAACATGGGAAGACCCATGTCCTGCCTGCCCCGCCTACGCACAGCAGAGTACCGCCGGCCGCCGGAGACTGCAACAGTGGGTATCACGGTAACACGCGGACCGCGTCGAGACTGCAACGAGACACAAGAGGGTAACCCCATTGCGGGACGTAACTGCTATACGGGCGACCGTCGCACCCGTTTGTTGGGACCTGACTCCTGAAGAATTCAACGTTGCTATCAGCTAACATATTGGTAAAAACGTATGAGGGCCAAAAATATCATCCAATAAGCTGTGAATCAGCCTGGCAAGGCTTGTGATAAACCTGGTAACACCTACCCGTGCCCGGGGCGCTAGGGTAGGCACAACATAACTCTGAAATCCGTAAACAAAGACAGTGAAAAAAAAAAGAAAAAAAGTCACCAAACGATAGGTTCCAGTGAGACCATTCACAAAATTACGAGTTTAAACTCGGGTCAATTCATAAACACATTTTTTTTAAGAATTGGTTAAACTTCGTATAAGCACAAATCGCATTATGCTGACTTCACTGCTGCATGTCATATCTACAGTACCCATTACACAGATGCTTAAACACCAATCGGACGATAATCTAAATCCTCTAACCCCCGTCCCGGCGATGGGGGCGCGGGGGCTGTGTCCGTCGACGGCCCTCTAATCCCAGTCAGTTGGTCTCTGCCGGGGCCGGAGGATGGACGTGTGGTGACCTGCTGGCTCTGTCGCTACTGCTGGGGGAGGTCGGGAGTCGGCACCAATCATGGTGAGTAGGGAGAGGGGGAGGGAGAGAGAGAGAGGGGGAGAGAGAGAGCTTATTTGGCCCATGTTTTCGCCCTAATCTTTTGTGATGAAATATCTTATTTTGAATGAGAAACCACCCAAACCTGCCGAAATGTCAGTTGCCCAATCACGTCTTTACATTTATTCACGTTATCTTTTCACTTGTAATCCTAAACTTGGAGCACTAAGCTTGCGATTAGGATCCTTGCGCTGAGCATGCAGTGTTGTCAAAGACAACTGCAATAAACGTTATAAATATAAATAGCAATAATGACATACGTCAAAAATACCTCTCACTAGCACCATTTTACCAGGTTTTTACAAGCATATTTCATCGCACAGACATTTAACCACTGCGCACGCCGACCCTATCCGGTTTTTGGATGCTGGCAAATACTCGTCCCGCTGACCGTCCCGTATGCAGTGCCGGCCTTGAATGACAACTCGCTATACTGACTGACGAGGAAGGTATACGGTGGAGCCCCCGCTGCCTGTCGAAACCGGCAGGCGACCTGCTGAAACATTCATGAGGAGGCGACACTGCAGGGCTGTGACAAAAAGAAAGCACTCAGCTCCACTTAGCATAGTTTGAGCTATCCTTTCGGGTTATTTGTGTTTAGTTTGTTTCAGATTTTGATGTTTGTACTTCATACACTTTCTTTTATTTTGATTTCTTTATCTTAATTTCTTTTTCTTCTTTATTCGCCGGTCCCGTAGCTCAGTTGGTAGAGCGTTGAACTCCGCGTGGTGAGAGCACGCGTTCCCGGTTATAAAAGTCCGGGTTCGAAGCGCGACGGGCGCTCGACATTTATGGGCCTCCTGACAGGTATGGTTGCGGTTGGTGGCAGGCCGTAGCCAGATGAAGTCAGTGAGGGGACCGGCCGTGCGCGGCTATGTGCGCACGTTAAACTTTGGGCTCTAAATTCTGCCATAGAACTGGAATTGCGCGATCGGAGGGTAGAGGGCAGGGTCACCGCAACAAGCTTCGCTTAGTGGTGGCTCTGTCCTTGTGAATCCTTCCTATCAAAAGGTTCGGACAAAATTTATAAAAAAAAATTAAGAAAAACGTTTTGAAAAATTGCAAACAACGCTCATGTAAAAATCTGGTTATTTGAACGTATATATGCCGCATGGTATCAACTAAAAGAATAATATTTATCAGTTACTTTTCTAACTCAGCAGGGCGAAAAATTGATAGCAGGCTGCTTACATGTTGCATTGTATATATCCATGTATCTACCGTAGGTGTTTGTCCATCTAGCCACTGAGCCTCACTGGAATACAGCCCGCGCAATAACTCGTAAATCAACGATCAACGTGCTCTGAGTTGTAAACATCTAGCATCCAATCTCGCACAAACACGCGCGAAACTGCCCACGCCAGCACTCACACAAACACCTCAAATCTCCTGTCTCGGTTGACGTATTGACTGGATACCACGGACTCTCTGGCACGTTATAACTTCAGTAAGCTCTCTCCCCAAGGTCGCAGCATCAAGGGGACTGGGAGGTGGGCGCCTCACCTGCGCTAAACCGCTTATCTTGGCTCTGTGCCGCAGCTTGGGACCAAACGTTGAGCACTGCTGCGGGTTAGGATCAATCGAACAACGCAACAAGCCGGGGTCAGGTAATCAGGTTCAACACTAATCGATTGTACGTAGATTCGGGCCGTTGTGGGTTTATGCTTCGTTATAATTGATGGGAAACGTCAAGAGGTCAACATGGGGCAGGTTCATAATCTTATCAGTACGAGTAGAATGCTGCTTCCAAGACATACACATCTAGGGACGAACTGCCAAAGCAATCATCGCCAGAGAGGCGTGGAAAACTTCAAGACCCTTCGAGTTTCTGTTTTCTCAAAGTAATGTCTTGCTAATGAGATGACAACGCTGTATTTCAGAGAGTGGGCAGCTTCCTGCTGCACCTGCCGCTAGTCTTTCTGTTAATTGGAGCTCCAGAGGTTATAGCTGATAATCGTAAGTAAACAACAGTATGTACGCTGACCGTAAAACGCTGCCTTAGAACGAATTAACTCGATCAGTACGAAATATAAAGGCCCAAATATTAACAACAACAATCAACAGCTAGTGCTTTAAAAACGTGGGCAAAGACTGCAATCCAGCAACAAATAAACATTGGCTGATACGGGGAACAAGACTCTGCCAAAAAAGTAAATTTGCTGTTACGAAATGTATTACTGATTCAAATAAATGAGATGTTATCAAAAGACTAATCTGCATATTTTTCAGAACCAAAGCGTCTCCACACCAACGCCAGAGGTGGGTATCGTTCAAGAACCGGGGAGAACTTTGAACCATCAAAGAGCACAAGTAATGAAACTGCTTTAGCCGTATCCGGCTCTGTGAGCAATATCACAGTGGACTCAACCTTCGAAGTGAATAACTTTCCACAGGACCAATCGTCTAAAAAGACGGTCTTAGAACCACATACAGACACTGAGAGTAACCGTGCCTACGAAGATGGTGAAGGGAATGTGATTGCAAGACAGGCAGCCTCGCAGAGTTCCCGACGCCTACGTTCGTTTTCTTCAGCCAGGAGACCGCCACACGCTGCAAGAACTCAACCAAGTCCCAGACGAGTATCTGGGCCCAGAAGAAGTCAGAACCTGAAGGCGATCCCCACTGCTCGTTCTGCACGTCCCTCGCAAAGACGATATAGCGCGCCTAGGAGGCAGCAGTCGTCAGCTATTTCACCGGTCAACGCCGAAATAAGCTCTGCACAAGGAGATGCTTCCTCTGCGGATCAGACCCCTTCGGCCAGCTCAGATGCGAATATTTTGCGAAGACGTGGTTCTGTTACCTACAGAACGTCGTCGTCTAGGTTGAAAAGACCGAACACAATACAATCAAGTAGAAATGAGGAAGAAAAGGAAGGACTCGCTGAAAAGTCACTGGTTGAAGAAACGTTGCAAAGGATAGAAGGATCCGACTCTGAAAAAGGACCAGCTAGTGAACCACAGGCCTCTACCACGAGAAAACCATCAACGAGTATCGATACACCGGCTGTGAACAAAACTACTTCTCCTGATCTCAAACCCAATGGCACTAGAGAGCTAACGAACCCTTCTACCAGTGCTACCTCCGGAGTGCCGAAAGATCCAGGCCCGGAAGATGTTAAACATCCAACAGAACAAAAAGCTAGCGCAGAACAGAATCACAAGGGTCTGCCGGTATATAGGGTCGTCAAACAACGTCGAAGACGACCTGGAAACTCTGCTACCGCAGCTAAATCTCCCCATGATGCTCAAAGGGAACGCGTCCCGAACACTTCTTCTGTCCAAACCCACGAACGGAGACGCAAGAAGAAAGATCGGTCTGGTTACCGATCCCCCAGTAGATCTCAAGTCACCGGCGGGCCCAGATCGGGAGCTCCATCGTCCCCTTTGCCAGATGACAAAGAGGGACGGAAAATCGTCTGCTATTACACCAACTGGTCGCAATACAGGTAAATGCCGGCTGAATCATAGCTGAATGAATGCATTTTTAAGTGATGAGCTTAGGCATGTAAAAATTGAGTGCTTGTGCATAAAGTTGTTTGAAACGGTTTTTATCGGGATCAGCTTTCCTTCAGGTACCCAATAGACTTGCGGCAAGAGCGTTTTTTAAAGACGTTTCAATCCCCATAATTGATGTAAACGATATAGCGCTGTACGTTTTCCTTCCATGCTCGTAACACACAAATTTCATTTCAATTTCAAAACTTTATTAGCAGGCCAGAATGCTCTCGTCACCTTCCAAAACATGCTCAGTTTTCCGTTCGCAGGCCTGGATTGGGGAGGTTTCTACCGGAGAACCTGGACCCGTTTCTCTGCACCCACATCGTGTTTGCATTCTCGTCCATGAGTGAGAACCGTCTCTCACCATTTGAGGAGAACGACCTTACGATGTCGGACGGCGGGCCAGGCCTCTATGAGCAGGTCACCGCCCTGAAACAGGTCAACCCGAGACTGCGCGTCCTGCTGGCACTTGGTGGGTGCAAAACAATATGACTACATTTGTAGATGGCTTCGAAGTTCCAAGAAGCGCGATCAAAAAGATATAATAAAGTTCTTCACATTTTAGCAATGCAGCGGGTTCAGCGCTGCAACAATTATCTATTTCCTAACATATTTCATTTCTTCTAAAATCGTTCTTGATTCAACACTGATTTTGCTGTGATTCATCACATACCTAACAGATCAAATATTTTATATCCCACGAAGAACGGTATAGATGCACTAACGTATGCATGAACGTGGAATTCAAATGTCCCCTTGTATACCCACAGGTGGGTGGTCGTTCGGCACGAAAAAGTTCAGAGATATGACCAGGAATCGGTACAACCGGCGTACATTTGTCTATAGCGTGGCACCTTACCTGCGCGACAAGAACTTCGACGGCCTCGACTTCGACTGGGAGTATCCCAAGGGCGCCACGGACAAGAATAACTTCGCTCAGCTCTGCAGAGGCAAGTCGTTTGTCGAATAGTGCACCGCAATAAAATGCGTTTCTTCTTACGATTGATCCTGTGCCTTTTTACGTTTTCCATGTGTTAAACACTTCCCAAAAATGTCCTGGTTATCTTTTTATGTTGTTCGGGGCTAGTTCAATGCCAGCAAAATTCTGATATTTTATATTTCGAACTGACTTTAGGTAACATTAATTAATTAATATTACGTATTGCATCCACTCATCTATGATTACATCGAATTCTCGGGCGACCAAAGACGAAAACATTTTTTAATTACTTTCATGTTGAAAATAGAATTGTTCGGTGCTCACTTCTTATCACTCACGTACGGCTTACGACTTATGTCCGCCCCTCTCCATGTACGAAATTTATTTCAATCCACAGAACTCCGTGAGTCGTTCGAAGAGGAGGCGGAACAGAGCGATCTGGAGAGGTTACTGCTGACTGCTGCCGTGCCCGTCGGACCTGACACTGTTCGACGGGGGTATGACGTCAGAGAACTGGCCAGGTAGGTCACTGACGTCGACTGAGACCGATGAGACAAAATGCCAGACAAAGTGGCATAGTGAGAGACACTATCTTGTGCGAAAATGTACTTATTTCGAGATTAAGCCTGACAATACTTATTTTTTATTTTTTTATTTTATATTCTTATTTAGGTATGTCATTCGCCAATCTTTCATCATTGCAAATTTTCCGAATATCTGCAAACGTTATTCGGCTCCTTTCTAGACTCTGGTTCTGGAGTTCCTAAGCTGACTACTTAGGCGCAGGAGCTAGAAGCTGACATGATAGAGCAGTTCGCCTAATGACCTCATGGATATACGGTATTGACCTGTTGCCGACATTCAAAGCATTCAAATATTGCACCGTCTAAGCTGAGACAAGCGTGCCATACATAAAACCTCGCTACTCTTTCTTCGGCAGACACTTGGACCTGTTCCACCTCATGGCGTACGACTTTCACGGTCAATGGGAGAGCCAGGCTGGCCACCATTCTCCGCTGAACGCCCCACTTAGAGACGTGGCCCATCGCCGTCAGTTATCCGTTAACGCTTCCGTGCATATGTGGATGGATATGGGGGCGCCGGCACATAAAATTGTACTCGGGTGAGTGCTAATTGCTGTTGTTTAAGATTATAAACGTAGCTGCCCATTGCCCACGTAGTGATCGTGATTTGATAGAGATAGTTTTTTTTTTGCAATAAGCGCATATTAGATGATTCAGTCATCTATGTCAGCACGCCTTTGTACTACAATTATCTTGTAACGTCGTGGTAGAAGTGCAGTACGGTGTGTATTCGTGAGAAGTCCCTCTGCTCGGTAATCCTTTTTGATGACTAATTGAGTTTTTCTATCGTCAGGGTGCCCACATATGGTCGCAGTTTTACTCTGGCCACCACCACGAACACTGGAGTCAACGCCCCGACGCGCGGCGGTGGAATTCCCGGACCGTACACGAATGAAGAGGGCATACTCGCTTATTATGAGGTAAGGACATCTTTAATCAAACAATATAAGTGATCAAAGATAGCATGGGGCGTGTCAGTCTACAGGGTGTTTCACTAAAAGTGTCAAAAAGTAAAAGGTCATAATGCACATAATAACAATGTTTTCTACGGAAATTTGCATACCATTTCATCCGCAATTGTTGGACATTTGAATATATAAAAACGATAGCACCGTCACTCAAACCTATTCCACATATCCGCCCCTTCTTTTGATGCACCGTTTCGGCACGTGTCCGGAGGTGCCTCACAGCCCGTTTTCATCTTCAGCGTCCAGACTGTCGGCAAAGCCTTGAATGGTGCTCTTCAGCTCCCGAAGTGATGCGACTTGAGTCTTCCTCAGCTCTGCGAGAGCTACTGACCAAAACCAGAAGTAAAACGGTGACAGATCGGGGCTTTGCGCTGGCCAGAGGCGGGCGGCGAGGCAGCTGATTTTTCGGTGCAGGAACTTCTAATCCAGCCAGTTCCTGGTGGTTACAGCCATTATAGTGGCTGTTTTTGATAACTTGTAAGGCCTTGGCTATTTCTGATGTTGAAATTAGCTTCTTGTTATCTTCAAAGACCTTCAAAAAGACCCTGACCCTTTCAACGGTTTCCGCCGAGAGGTGGGGGACCCCGTCTTTTTTGGACTGCGACCGGCATCGAAGGAACCCTTTTAAACCTCTCAAGAAGCCCTTTGAACCTTTTATAATCTGGAACGTAGCGAGGTGAGAGAATAAAACGTTTCCTGAAAAGTCGGCATACGGTTTCAATGTTTCTGATGGCACCAAATGTAAGTGTAATTTATCCCTCCTGTTGCGGTGTAAATAACCTGTTCTTGATCTGCATAAGGAAAAAAAACGACTAGTAACTTTGGCCTCCTGCCCTCGCTCCGTATGAGTGTAAAATATATCTTAAATGGACAAAGCATAAATGTCCAAAAATTTGCAACCAAGCCACGTGCGCAACCACGTGATTTGCATATTTTATATAACTTTAATAGGCATTTACTTTTTGACACTTTTAGTGAAACACCCTGATGTAGACAAAATGTTATACCATTGCCTTGAGTATTCGATGAACATTTTTATTTAAAAAAAACTTCTGATAACTTCGCTAAGTTTTTTCAAGAGTTATCAGAAAACGCGAGAGAAAATTGATACAAATATGTAAATAAAACCGGGAAATGGTGACGACTACTTCTTAGCTAATGAGCCAATTTACCTCTCTGCCACTCAAACTAAGCTCGTTCATATCTTCCGCACAGATCTGTCAGCGTCTTCACTCCGGTGCCGTCTACATTTGGGACCACGAGATGTCGGCTCCCTACATAGTCGATGGCGACCAGTGGGTTGGATTTGACGACGAACGGTCCGTCAGAATCAAAATGGACTTTGTCAAGGAGCTAGGCCTGGCTGGCGCGATGGTCTGGGCGGTGGATATGGACGACTTCACGGCCACTGGATGTCAGGGAGCCGTCTACCCGCTCATAACTGCGATCAGGTGGGCTTCCTATTTGCTTCCGAGATTTTTTTTTTAATAAGGTATGCCCGAGCTGGGAAAATTGCGTGCTGAGGCGCTCAGTATAATGAGATTATAAATATTTAGAAGGATCAGTAAAATCTGACGATTTTTTCGGCCGATCCCGCCAGGTGGTCCCAATCCAGTGTTTCCATTGAAACATCTTGCGACCGACTGCAACTGGTTTCGTTGTTCCCGTTGAACTCCCTAAGTGATTCGCCGTGGTTAATGGCTGTCCAGTGTCCTGTGAACCTCGCTCTAGCGATCGCTGAATGCCGATGTCGTACTTCTTTTATGTGACCGTCGACTAGGACCACTGATCCTTTATTTCCACCAGGGAAGAGTTGCTAGGTGTTGCCCGACCTGACCTAGCACCAGACATCGACTGGTCAGCGGTAGCGGGACGTCCTGTACCTCAAATACCAACCAACCCGCCGGAACCGCTACTCCCAGTCCTCTCACAACTGAGTGCCGCTGATATACTGGCCATTCTCACCGCACATGGTGAGTAGGAAGTGAGAGAAGGAGAAAGGGGGGAGAGTGGGGAAGGGAGAGGGAGGGAGAGGGAGAGGAGAGGGAGAGGAGAGGGAGAGAGAAAGAGAGAGAGAGAGAGTGGGAGGAGAGGGAGGGAGGGAGAGAGATTCGGAAGAGAGGGGGAAGGAGAGAAGAGAGTGAGTAAGTGAGTGAGTGAGCGATTAAGTTAATGAGTGAGAGGGCAAGTTAAAGAGTGAGTTCAACATATTTGCTAGCTGTTATGAGTCAACGAATGCGTGACATTTACGAGCGACCCTTCCAAATAAATATGGATCATCTCGACAGAGGCTTCTGATGATTTTCCCCTGGCATTGAGAAACGTATCCACCTTGGTACTTGCTGACACATTGCCTATTATTTCAGGTATTAGTCCCGACTCCGCCACTATTCAAAAGCTCCAGGCACAAGTAGCCAGAGCTCAGACTCCCGCTTCTCCCGCTTACCGCGCTTCCGAGAATGTTCAGAGACTTGACAACCCTATCGTCGAGGAAAACTGTAAGTGAACAACCACATACGTCTGAATGGCGTTATGTGCACGATGATTTATGATGCTTCATTGAGACCGATGCATGTCTCAGAAAAAATCGCAAAGGCCCAAAATATGACTTTTTCATAAAACATTCCGTAGATACTTATTGACAAGTATAGGTATAAGAAATAAGAGTCATCGACACGTAGCTAAGTTATTATCCTGGCTCTAGAGCATCTCAGCTCATTCGCATGACGTAGCGCCAAAGGAACAGTAGCACTAAAGCTATATCGTATGTCTAACGAGTTACTTTTTTCCATCCACCAGTGGCACCACCGAAGGTTTTCTGCTACATCACTGATTGGTCACGATTCCGACCTGGCCGGGGTCAGTTCCGCCCCCGTGACCTTGACCCTGACCTCTGCACGCACGTGGTTTGGGCGTTCGCGGGCCTGTCCCAAGATCGGCTGCAGCTGCCATCGCCTGATCAGCGACGGTCAGATCCAGATAGCGATTATCAACAGCTGCTGAGATTGAAGGAGGTCAATGCAGATCTGAAGGTGGGTTGAGTGAGAAATGGTGGATAGAACAGCGACACAGGCTATCAAAGGATGCATTCTCAGGAAACTTACGAGTAGTTCATCTGTCCTATGTATAGTTGCCATGAACGTCTCTTATTTTCTTATGGTAAGGGCCTATATTGTCTTGGTTAGGGTTTTTGTTGAAGAAATGGAGCACGACCATTCTTGACTATTGCTATTTCTAAATTCGAACGTTCACCACCGATTCGCACGAGATAGGAAGATCGTTCATGACCCTTCTAGACGCCTGTGTTGTTACTGTGGTCTAAATGTGACCAATTGCCTGTGCAAGTTCCATTGGAAGACCACGTTATTGACCTAATAGCTGTCCCGAACCTCACTTATTGACGAATCATGTGTATGTCCGTGTGTAATGTGTAACATTTATGCTCTTGTCTTCAGATTTTGGTTAGCCTGGGAGGTAGTGTCGTGGATAATGAGCAGTTCCGCGAGCTAACCTCCAGCGACTACAGAATGAACACCTTCGTGTACGACACCGTCGACAGCATCCGCAGGCTGCGGCTGGACGGACTGGAACTGGCCTGGGAGTACCCCAGGTAAGGTATAACGTCCATATCAGGCTGAGGCTAGACGGAATGGAACTGGCTGGGAGTATCCCAAGTAGGTTTTAAGTTTTAACGCCGGACAGTGGATGATCTGAATGCGATCTGAGGTCAGATAGCATTCTGGTATAGAGCTTTGTATGTATTTCAAACCAACAGTAAATAGTGACGAAACCGGATTGAATTTCCTTCGAAGGTCACCACTTGTCACAAGGACAAGTTTACGGCGATTTAGGAATACGTTTATTGCTACCTCATAAGCAGTGAACGTGAGGTCATTTAGTGTCCGTCACCCTGGTAAAAAGATTAATTATCCTCTTTTCAGCGGTAATGAAGACAAAGACGCTTACAGTCGGCTGATTAAAGAGTTCCGGTTGGCGTTCAACAGCGAGGCGTCAGCCAATGAGAGAGCTCGCCTGCTGCTGACGGCATCTCTGCCCGGCTTTCCTGCTGACCTTCAGAATGAGTAGGTGTTGACCGTCATAACAGACCAAACATCATAGAGTTATGAGCAACAAGCATACTACATAGTCTTGTTGTTTTAAGTTTTACGAGCCAAGCCAAGCGAGTGATTTGGTCCTAGGAAAAGACCATACTAGGGCTGCGAGGGCCCTGAATATTTGAAAATTTATAAGGAGTCCGGCGGAGAAGCAAACATACCGTTGCTCCGCACCTTTTCACGATTTGAGCACCGAGTGCATTTTTTTCAACTGCCGCAGACGTAAACCGAGCCCTATACCTCAGACCCAGGAATCTTGCCAACTTCAGGGTTGATCAATTGTCATCGAGATACCTTTTCAACTTTCAGAGTCTCGCTTAAACTGAAGTTTAGACCCGAAGACATCTTGGCCAAAAATTAGCTCTAAAATCACCTGTTTCAGGTACAACATCCAGGAGGTCTCTGAGCACGTGGACCTGTTGAACCTGCTGGCGTTCGATCTGCACGATACCCTGGTGGACGTGGTGCGACACGGCGCCCCACTGTTCCCTCTACAGAGCGCGACTCCAAAGGAGCAGCGGTATCTCAGTGTGGTCAGTGCGACTAGATTCTTGCAGATGAGGTTCGGGGCCTTTTTTTTGGCAAAGTCTGCAACAAAGAACTGAAACATTGGTGAAACTTCAGCAATGTTTCAGTTTTCAGTGCAATAAAGGTTACGCCTCTGGCTATTTTTCTATTCACGCATTTCATGTGCTCGCTCATTTTTAATGTTTTACGATGTAAAATACAGTCACCGACATGTGGCTTCCGCCATAGATATGTATCAAGTTATCTTACAAGTTATTAGAAATATGTTTCCTTATAGGACGGCGCGGCCCGTACCCTGCTCGAAGAAGGAGCAGCCCCAGAGAAGGTGCTCATTGGCCTGGCAACGTACGGTCGTTCATTCACGCTCAAACATGGGGACCAATACGACATTGATGCGCCGCACCTGGGTGCCGGGAAGGCGGGAAAGTTCACAGGCGACCCCGGCTTTGCTGCCTATTTTGAGGTAAGAACGTGTAATTAATAATGACTCATAGCTCAACGTTGTACAACAAACTTCTCACCTGCTGAATAATATGGAATTTGAATTTAACGTATGACTTTTTTAACCCGCGAGTTGCTGGGGGGGGGGGCGTTAAACGCCCCCACTTTTTTCGCCGGGCCATAGCATAAAAACGGCGCGCCGTAGGCGCGCCAAATTTTGGGTACCTGTAGGGAATTGATTGAAGTTTATTGTGACAAAGTGTCAAAAAAATTGGTAGGAAAAATTTTGAGATATCGAGGTCTTAGTGACGTCATGATTTCTGAGTTTTCGACCAAAAATGGCATATGTTCAAAAAATCATATAAAATCACAGAATAGACATATAGACATGCCGTAAACGCCATTAGACTGCCAATACCATGAACAATCAAATGGTTATCACCGATTATTGATTATCGTTCTGCATTTTCCAAAATCTTGAAATGAATCTTGGCAATTTCTCGTGGCTACTTTACGACCATGATACATGAATTTCTTATATTGAACTTTTTGAGCCAAACACGTACACATATGATAAAATGAATGTCACCATCGTGTTCTACGCTCCAAATTACCCATAAAACATGTGTCACAGGCTGCGAATATCAGTTTTGATTTCGGGGATATGTGTCTACCCGGTTGACCTGACCTTGACCCTGACCTATGCTTGACTGACCCCTGCATGGAGCTGACACTCTTGTAGGCCTTACATGATGGATTTTGCACCGTTTTGACAGAGGTTATGACGAGAGGCGCCCATTGCGAAGCCCTGAAGTCCATGCTACTGAAAGCCCGATTTCAGGTGTTTGACCTGACCTTGACCCGACCTGTGACCTCAAAATTCAACTTAAAAGTACTCATCTGAAGCGTCTCATCGCGTTCTTTGGTTTGCCGCCTCGTGCGTTTCGCTGCGCCTATTGGTTCTCGAGTTATCGGCTGGGGGCGTTTAACGCCCCCCCCCCCCCAGCAAACGGTGGGTGGCGAAATACCCCAGCAACTGCCGGGTTAAGTTGATGTATAAAAACAACAAGTTGTGCGCTTACGACATAAATACGAGTGAAACAAATGTGCATGTGTGCTTTCAAACGTTACTGTGTGCGAAACGTATTCTTTTGGCTTGGCTTTTTCCGCAGATCTGTGAATTCCTGGACCAAGAGAACACCACATTAATTTGGGACGCTGAGCAGCAAGTGCCGTTTGCTTTCAACGGCGACTACTGGGTTGGATTTGACGACGAGAAATCGCTGGAGAAAAAGGTGCGAGTTATGCGCATTCTGCTCGTTTTGGTATCTTTTTTCGTTTTCCAAATCATTTGCCGATGAACATGACTTCAAGCTGCTTTTAATTTGTATGCACTCAAAAAGGACCTTTTACCTATATAAACTCAATTATTATTGGTTTGATGTTAGCTAAGGAGCTCTCGAATGTATTTTTACATTGTGTTATTCTTTACAGTCCCATTCCATCACATGCCGTAAGCGTATGAATAAAATACTCGTACGTATTATTCAAATTCATGCGTCGCCTTTTAATCTCACTACAGAGTTTCCTTTTCAGGTCGAATGGCTGCGAGAGTTGGGGCTGGGAGGGGTCAGCATTTGGTCGGCCGACCTGGACGACTTTAGCGGTGCCTGCGGCGGCGGCCGGTACACTCTGATGTCAGCAGTGCGCGAGGCACTGAGGGGTTACCGCGTGCGATACACTTATGACGGGGTGACGGTAACACCTGGTGCTAGAAGCCGCCCTGGAGCGATTCTTCCATTGACGGCAGGTTAGTAAAAGCTAATAAGAATAATGTGAGATTGTGCAATTACCTTTCTATTGGTGCACTAGGCTGGGCTGGCCCATTTTCGTCCTAAATTTCGTAACGATATATACAAAAAAAAAAACAATCCAATAAGTGAAAATTTGTGGAGAAACATTGTTAATTAAATCTAAACTTCTAGTCAGCTTTGAACACAAAACCATATAGCGAAGGAGTTCGAAATTAGCCATTTACACTATCTTCAAACCAAAATATTCTATCTTATCATAAAATATGACGATCTATTCTGAAGTCACAGTGATCTCACATGAAACCTGTCTCTCCTCCCCAGTGGGTGCCGCCGAGCCCGTGACGTGTACCGACGGCGACAATGACGTCACTTACCACCGTGACCCGCTCGACTGTCGCCACTACTACCTGTGTCAGGGGAGGGTGCGACACCGCATGCCTTGTCCGAGCGGGCTCGTGTTCAATGAAGAGCAGTCCGTGTGTGACTGGCCGGAAAATGTGGAGAGGTGCTGGGGTTGACAGCGCGGCCCCCGCCGTCGGCTGAGAAATGATAATTATTTCACGTACTTTATGAACCTACATGAGCGGAGGAATGTAGACTACAAATTGATATTGCGATGTAGTGCCCAATACTAAATTGGCCGTTTGTAAAGGGCATTTTCTTGCTCATGTCTCTAGAGAAAGTGATTGCGTGTGCCTGCCTACTCGTGCTGATTGTAAACGTATCGATAGATCAGTGGTTGGAGACTGCCAGTATCAATGCATTCTTCTCATATTTAGAAACCTTCCGCGCTGTACAAAGCTTATTGCAGTATGCCTGATGCCAGTATAAGTGCCATTTCTTACAGTTCCAGCGGTAGATATTGCCGATGCAACTGTTGTGCTGCCGTTGACCTTAGGCCAACTTAGTGATGTTGCTCTACTGTCATGTATGTGTGACTTGTATTGTGCAAGACGTGCGATAGATATAGCTCCTGTGTATACATGATGAAACACGGGGGAGCGCTTGAGTCGCTGCCTGTACCGTACCTTCTGTTGTTTTTCTTTCATAACGCAAGGTAAGCCTCTAATAGCAGGGGCCCGGGAACGATTTTCAAGTTGGGGGGGCGAGCCTAAAATACCTAACATGATGCATATGAAACAGTGGCGTGGCTAGGGGTCTAAGGGGACACGTACCCCCCCCCCCATCGGTTTCAAAGGGACCCTCGGGTCCGAGAGGGCCTGCGGCGCCATTTGACCGCTGAGGGCTAACAATGGTCATATTTCGACTCAGAAGGGCCCCATGGGGCTCGTTAGGGCACCTCATGGGCCCTAAATAACCACACTAAGATAACCATAAGGGCCCCACGCCGGCTTCTGAGGGCCTCTTGCAGATTTTAAGGGCCCCTCGGTGGTCTCCAAAGGCCCGTTACTGGCCTCTGAGAGTTCTTACCGGCCTATGAGGGGCCAGTTCTAGGGGCATTTCCCGCCTGTGATGGTCACACACTTATTTTTCTGAGGGCCCCATAACGGCAACTGTGGGGCCCTCATCGGCGCCTATGAGGGCCCACACCGGTGTCTCTGAGCGTTTCACACCCCAAACGCTGAGTGTCTACACCAGTGCCTATTAAAGCCCTATGTCGGTGGCTCTGAGGACCCAACAGTCAACACCTGCGAATCTAAAGGCCACTCACTGGTGACTTTTGAGGGCCCCACACCGGTGACTCTGAGCCCTGAGGGTCCCACCGGCGTCTGACAGTACCATGCCGGTCTCTAAGGACTCCACAGGACTTCTTCTGTCGGCCTAAGGGCTCCTTGCCGGTCACTGAGAACCCCCTGCCGGCTTGTAGAGGGCTCGCGTCAGCAACTCTGCCTCTAAAGACCCCACACCCGTCTGTAACGGCTCCACACCAGCCTCTGTGAGGGCCCACAGCAACGCCTGTAAGACTAAGGACCCTCACCGGCGCCTCTGAGAGATCACACTAGCACCTCTGAGCGCCCACACCGGCAACTGCATGGCGGCCCCACACCAGTGCCTCTAAAGGCCCCTTACCGCCGGCTCTGAGGGCCCTACGCCGGTGATTCTGAGGGTGCTACCGATCACCGAAAGCACCACATAAGCCCTTAGTGTCACTGAGCTTTAATCCCATACCGGCCTTCCGAGGGCGCCACGTCAGTGTACCCATTGCCCCACACCCCTCCAGCTCACACCCGGAGCGGGTAAACTGTGTTATACCTATAGCAACGAGTTTACCACCGTTTTACGTTACCGTGTATTTCTCAAAGTTGACTCAAAATGGTCCAGTATAAAATCTGGCCTGCCAAACTTATGGCGAACGCCAGGCCCAAACCAAAGCGGGATGACAAAAGCAGATGTTGTCAAATCGATACTGTATCAGCAGAAACCATTCAGATGGCTAGGAAAATGCCGTGTGTTGATGTTTAGATGTATAAAGGAAACAAGAAGGAAAGAAGTCCGGAAAAGGGAGGAAAGATCCTTTCACGCTGCCTCAATGTTGAGGGGGCGCCGCCCCCTCGGCTCTGAAGTTGGGGGGGCAAGCGCCCCCGCTGCCCCCCCTGTTCCCGGGTCTATGTCTAATAGTGCAGCGTATGAGACGATAAAGAAACATGACTTTCATCGAATAAACGCAGGATGTACCAAATAAACAGTGTTGTTCTCCATCGTAAAAACACAGACGAGTCAATAAGATAACCGAAAGTTTCGGGCAGGGCCGATTGAGACGAAAACTTCACTCGCTAGCAGTCCATTTTCCGAAGGCACTTTCAACAGTTTTTTTTTTCGAATATGGTAAACCTCAAATGACCTCGGTGACCTCGAGGGGTCATCGCAATGTTTTGCCTATCGCAGGCTATCCTATAACTTAGCAACTACTGGGCCATCGAGGTCACCGAGACAGGGGCGGATCCAGGAAAACTCCAAGGGGAGGGTCATGAATCGAAGTGGTGCCCCTACCTATACCCAAAATTAAAAACTCAACGGATTTCGTCCACTTCATTTTGGTGGTGCCCCCATTTTCAGTTTTTTATTTTTATTTTTTATTTTTAGTCAGTATCTTACCTATTAGCCACAACCACATTTACCAATTGTAAGCAAGTATATATGAATGTGCTATGTGTATATATGTTGTGGACGCTGAGTAATGAGTACTTACCAGGAACGTTATCAGGTAAGCAAATCGTTGTCAGTCCGACGAACTTGACCCTGGCGTCTAAAGGGTCTATCCTTGACACTTCAGGCTTGTCAGGGGCACCAAAGTTCTTCCAGGGACACCACAAACCTGTCAGGGGCACCTACGGCCTTGTAGGGGCGCCACAGGCCCGCCAGGGGCACCACAGGCCTGCCAGGAAGCAGGGGCACCACAGGTCTAGCAAGTATACACGACAGGCCTGTCAGGGGCACAACGGGCCTGTTGGGCCCATGAGCACCCCTAGGGGCAGGGGCACCACAGTCCTTCCAGGGGCACCGCAGGCCTGTGAGGGGCACCAGCGGTCTAGCAGGGGCACCAGTCAACACAGGCCTGCCAGGGGCACCACAGACCTGCCAGGGGCACCAGAGGCCTGCCAGGAGCACCAACGACCTCGCAGGGGTAACTTGGGCCTGTCAGGGCCCAGGGGCACCACGGGCCTGTCGAGAGGCACTTCAGGCTTTTCAGGGGCACCATAGTCCTCTCAGGGCGCAGGGGTAGCAGGGGCACCAGAGGCCTGCCAGGGGCACTACAGGCCTAGCAAGGGCACCGCTGGTCTATCAGGGGCACCACGAGCCTGTCATAGCCAGGCATCTCAGGCTTGTCAAGGCCCAGGGGTACCACAGGTCTGTGAGGGGCACCAGCGACCTAGCAGGGGCACCAGTCAACACAGGTCTGCCAGGGGCGCCACAGACCTGCCAGGGGCACCACAGACCTGCCAGGGGCACCAGAGGCCTGCCAGGGGCACCACCGGCCTCGCAGGGACACCTTGGGCCTGTCAGGGGCACGACGGGCCTGCCGAGGGGCACTTCAGACTTTTCAGGGGCACCAGTCCTCTCCGGGCGCAGGGGCACCAGAGGCCTGCCAGGGGCACCAGCGGCCTAGCAAGGGCACCAGAGGCCTGCCAGGGGCACCAGCGGCATAGCAAGGGCACCAGAGGCCAGCCAGGGGCACCACAGGCCTAACAAGGGCACCACGGGCCTGTCAGGGGCACCTCAGGCTTGTCAGGGGCACCTCAGGCTTGTCAGGGCCCAGGGACACCACAGTCCTTCCAAGGGCACCGCAAGCCTGTCAGGGGCACCAGAGGCCTGCCAGGGGCACCACAGGCCTAGCAAGGGCACCTCTGGCCTGTCAGGGGCACCTCAGGCTTGTCAGGGCCCAGGGGCACCACAGTCCTTCCAGGGGCATTACAAGCCTGTCAGGGGCACCAGAGGCCTAGCAAGGGCACCACAGGCCTGCCATGGACACCACAGGCCTGCCAGGGGCACCACCGGCCTTGCAGGGGCGCCTCAGGCCTGTCAGGGGCACCACGTGCCTGCCGGGGACACTTCAGGCTTGTCAGGGGCGTTACAGTCCTGTCAGGGCCCAGGGGCACCAGGCCCGTGGTGTCCCTGCTAGGCCTGTGGTGCCCCTGGCGGTCCTGTGGTGCCCCTGTCAGGACTGTGATACCCCTGATAGGCCGGTGGTGCCCCTGGAAGGTCTTTGGGCCCCCGGGCCTCAAGGGGGGGCCATGACCCATGTGACCCCCCCTTGGATCCGCCCCTGCACCGAGATCACCTGAGGTCACCATTTTTTGTGACGACTGACGACTGACAAAAATCACATGCGCTGATTCGACTGCTGCTGATTTTGTCTCGATCGGGTCGACGGGCCGATCGCAGATCGATTGATAGGATGGCTGTCCGTTAGACAAAACGTACCTAAAGTTGACCTCTTTAGGTCACCGAGGTCACCTGAGGCCACCCGATTAGAATGTCGATGAGTGATATCGAATGCGGTAAACCGACTGAGGACATTTTTATTTTTTGTCTCGATCGGCCTGGTAGTTGCTGCGTGAGGAATGCATGGAAGGGGATGGCCGGGAATTGCGGTACCTACGCGAAAACGTTGAGTTGACCTTCCAGGGTCACTGCAGGTCATCGTATAACAGGGGCATGGGAACTACTTTCAGACGGGGGGGGCACACCATAATAGATATCAACCTAGGATACCCCTAAATCTAGTTTTCTCAAGCCAGGTTTAGGCCACTTATTTTTTAATTCCTTATTTTTTTCCAACAAAAGCACATTAGCCAAAAAAGTGTGGTATTCCGTATCATAGCTATGGGGGCACCACCCACACGGCCCCAGAGTGGGGGGGGGGGCAGGCTGCCCCCACTGCCGCCCCCCCCCCACCCCCCGGTTCCTGCGCCTATGCCGTATAAATGACCTATGTGGAAATGCATAAGGCAAAACGAGTGGAAACATGTTTGTCTTAATTAGTCCAGCTCTTTCTGAGTTATTAAATACAATGGGATAGCTGCAACAGGCGGAAACGTCAACCTTTCAATGTCACCTGTCGTCACCCTCATCCTCATGGCCGCCCTTTGGGGTTGAGGTCACCTGAGGTCAAGATGTTCGAAACGCCTGTCAAATGACTTACCCTGATTCCAATGAAGCCAGTTTCGTATTGAGCGGTGATTTCTTTAGGACGGTTGGAGAGCCGAGAGGTGACAGTCAAACAGTGTGGTCCGGTCCGGCCGGGTCAAACGCCCCGTCGACCGTCACCCGTCGGAAACGGATCCGCTCTCGGACCCCTCGGACCCGGCAGCGTAAAATGTGCATACCGTCTCAAATATTTTTAGTCCTGAGAGGTTGCTCTTTTTCTCTTTTAGAATATAATTCGTCGGGCAAATTTTCTATTTAATTTAGGAAAAAATGAATAAATTATCTTTTTTACCTCATTCGTGTCTTATAAATCAATTATTTAGAATGCTTGATAGACTTTCTTGTTCCATTTGCAGTGCAGTTGCGGCGGTTGTGATTTGTTACCCCGGGCCTGTCACTGTGTGTGAGAGCTGAGAGGTGAGAGATTTTCCGTAATTTTAAAATAATTTTGCGTGCTTTTTCAGATACAGTTATGTTTTCAATAATACTCAGAATGATTTACTGAAGTATGACAATAAAAGCAGTTTCATCGGGCCAAAGACAAGTCATCAAATGCTTCAACCAAAGATGCTTTCTTTCCTGAGCTTGAGCTGGCATCGCGCATGAATTAAATTTTATTATTTAGTCTTAAAAATATATTAAAATGCATTATGGAAAAACAAATTTCTCCATCAGTGCCTCAGTCTCTGAAGCTCATTTCTTTGCTGCTGAATTTGCCTGAGAATCACAACTTTTTCACTGTTTTGACTTTTGATATAATTCAAATTTTTGGCAATGGTGGGGTAGCATAGAAATCACTGAAATGGTTATTTGACAATGAATGTTGATGATGAGGAAGAGCTCTCCTGTAATTTTTGATAATTACCCTGGCAAATAAATAGACATAGAACTTAGAAGAGTATAACATAAAGTTTTCTGCAATTAACTTGTGACCCCTGCCACTTTTTGTAGGCCAGGAAATAAATAGGAGCATGTGGCTTAGTACTTTATCAACTCACATGCACACATACATGGCTGCAAAGAACAAACTTCAATTTAGAAACATGCAAATATAAAATACAGAATGTGAGGACATACAGTGCGGGGGCTACACTGTCCCTGGATGCAGAATTTCAAGTGGCCCCTGGAGGCAGAAATGCAGACACTGGAAGTTGCACCAGGGCTAAGTTTTTACAGAAGTGTGTTACACAATAACACATACCTGGGGTGCTTGGTTCAAGAAGGACTGGCAGCCTGTATTTGTCATTGTGCATGATGTGGTAACACCAGATCACAATCCTGTCTTGTGCTTCGCTTGAAGAAATGCAGCCAAAGCCGCTGTCTAATATCTTAAGCTCTCCCAGAATGAGTTTATCGTGTGTAGTGCTGAATGTGTAGAAAAATGCAAGATCTTCAGCACTGAGTCATTGTAGTATCTCTAAAACAGGTGACACTTGGTCACACTTTTGTGGCCAATGCTAACCTACTATGGATGTATAGTTGATCACTTTTTGATTGCTCCCTCTCCCTCAACACATTTCTGTTTGAACCATTGCTACTTGAGGAAAGAGTGTATCTGAGCCAGGAGAAAAGCAAGGTGCAGATCAGGGAAGAGACAACATGAAAGGGCGATTGGCAGGGCGCCTGGGGAGCAAGTTTGCCAATCATTGCCTATGATGCATATTGCTTAGAGTTAATTGTACCATGTTGCTGCTTTCAGGAGGATCTTTCATGGTGCTCTCGACCAAATGATTGAAATAAGAAACTGTGGCAGAGTCCCAGCATGGACCTACTGAAGCAGCGACTTCAAGCCATCGCCGCCAAAGGACGGTTGACAGAGGAAGAAAAGCAAAAGGCAAAGAAAGAGGAGGATGCCGAGGCTGAACGTCTCTACACAGAATGGAAAGGAAGCAAACAAGAAACTAAGGATCCATCTCTGAAAGTGATCCCTCGCTTCTACTTGAAACCACCAGGCGATGAGGACATTCTGTTGCAAAAGCTGCGGGAGGAAGCCCGCGCCGTCTTCCTGCAGCGTCGCAGCGAACAACTGCTCGACAATGACGAGCTGAAGGCGCTCTACGTCACACTTGACGAGCACCGAACTCCTCCGCTGGACACCACCGAGGGTATGCTCGGCTGGGATGATTTCTGTACCGCCTCTGAGAGAGCCACGCCCAAGTGCAAGCGCTACTTCACGCCCTTCGTCTTTGCCAAACTGCAACAGGATGATCCATACGGCCGTATCAGCATGATGTCGTTCTTTAACTACGTCATGCGCAAGATTTGGCTTCATCAGACTCGTATCGGCCTGTCGCTGTACGACGTGACTGGAGAAGGGTTCCTGCGTGAGATGGATCTGGAAAACTACATCCTAGAGATGATCCCGTCTCTTCCCCAACTCAACGGGCTCGAGAAGTCCTTCCACAACTTCTACGTCTGTACGGCAGTCCGCAAGTTCTTCTTCTTCCTCGACCCCCTGCGCACCGGGAAGATCAAGATCCAAGACGTCTTGGCCTGTAGCTTCTTGGATGAGCTCCTCGAGCTTCGCGATGAAGAACTCAGCAAGGAGGCACAGGAGTCGAACTGGTTCTCTGCTCCTTCTGCGCTGCGCGTCTACGGGCAGTACCTCAACCTCGATCGCGACCACAATGGCATGCTGAGCAAAAGCGAGCTGGCTCGCTACGGCACGGGCACCCTGACTACTGTCTTCATCGACCAAGTCTTCCAAGTGTGCCTCACCTATGATGGCGAGATGGACTACAAGACGTACCTCGACTTCGTACTGGCTCTGGAGAACCGTCGCGAACCACAAGCTCTCCAGTATCTGTTCCGAATCCTCGACGTTCAGCAGACTGGTTGCCTGAACGTCTTCGCTCTCAACTACTTCTTCCGTGCCATCCAGGAGCAACTGAAAGCGCATGGACAGGAGCCAATTCTCTTCGAGGACATCAAAGACGAGGTGTTTGACATGGTGAAGCCGGCCGATCCTCTGCGTATCACACTACAGGATTTGGTGAACTGCGGTCAGGGCGATACGGTGGTCAGCATTCTGATCGATCTGAACGGCTTCTGGACTCATGAGAACCGGGAAGTGCTGGTGGCTGAGGGTGATGATGCGCCGGCAGCTGCGCTGGTGGCGGAGAGTTGATGGGTAGTTTGGTGCACTGAGAGGATCGCTCGAATAGTGAAGCACAGGTCTTTGTTTGGACTTGCGAGAGTTCCTGTCATGTAATGACTCTTGTTGCTGGTTGTTCAATGCTTACATCTTATTTCACTTTGTCGCTAGGCTGGTAGTTTCCATTACCATTACTCATTGTCATTTTGGCATGACTCCATCAGTCAAGTCTTATTGGTGACTTGGTTGGAACAGGGCTGTGAATTGTCATTTCTCATTTGGTCAGGATTGATGCTAAGTCATTGCCAGCAATTTACCTCCACGCTATGTTCGGTTCACACTTAACAAAGGTTTCATGCAAGTCGTGTCAGCGTATCTGCTTACCCTACTGTTCCGCCATTTAGGAATCTCATCCAGCACAATTTTTTATGGTACATAGATATCAAACATATCGCCTAAGCTGGCTACATGTGCCCATTAGGTAGCTCATCTCTGCTGTGGAAAACGGCTTGTTAAAGTAAGCATGCTACGAGAAAATAAATCGTGACGATTGCTTTACACATCGTCTTTGAATGCCTGAAAAGTGGAAACGCTTCATAGTTCAATGATTGTCTGAGATAACATGAATTAATTAGATCAACGCTCGAAATGTGGTTGGGTAAAATTAAGAACAATTGCACAGGAGACACATCCATGTTGTACAATTAGACATATTTGTTCCAAATGACTTGTCGTTTGCTAAAAGACGACTAACCGATCGGGTAGTGATCGATCCGTCAATCGCCATTTTCCTACATTTGTTTAGGGCGACGATTTGAATTGTACGATGTAAAATGAATTGCTTTTTGTTCTTATTCGCAAACGTCTTTCTCCAGATCAGTCATGAGCCTATCTTCGTGCTCCACCCTGCGCTGGTGGCGATGCCTCTCACGGCCGCTCAGCCTTCACCAGCGCCACCTACACAGAACGTCTCCGCTCAGCCGATGGCGAGTGGCCCACCTAGTAGCGCCACCTACAGCCACGCCTTTGAGCTCGATCTCATCTCATGAACCGTTGCGCATATCAGCAACTCCTCGTCCTCGAACAAAAGAAGCGAACCGTCTGCATACGATGTCTCCCGCGCTACGCCAAGCGAGGCCACCTGACCTAGACTTCAAGATCATCTACCGGTTTCCGTACATCATGTCGGTTCGGCTGATTTGTCGGCTGAAGATCTATCAGACGGGTCTCACGCTGGCTGCAGTGCCGGTGATGGTCCTCCTGCAAGATCTTGACGCTGCCGCCAAGGTAAGATGTATCTTATTTGTACAGCCCTCATGGCTGAAATATTTTTTAATGTGAGAGACTGGTTGTGTGTATGTGTGTGTGGGAGGATGAGGGGATTGACACTGCGTTTTTACGTTTGGACTTGTGAATATTTACTGGATAATGAGTACCTACCTGAGACTTTATTTTTAACTGAAGCCAGCGTCAGGCGATAATATTTTCATTGATCTGTCCCCATGGTTGAGTTATGCGGAAGGCCAGCCCCTGACTGATTTTCAGAACGTGCCTTGGCTTGACTTTTGTTCCCTGCACTTCGGCGTCGCTCATCAGTCTGTAGAAGTCTTTTCAGCTGTCTATTTAGGTAGTGTTCTGACGATGTTTTTGTCTGTTCTAGGTGGGAGCTGTCGGCCTGTTCGCTGCCGGCATGCTCTACATCATGGGCGAGTTCTTCCGGCGCTTCGTCGGCCTTCTATACCTCCACCGGGACGGAACACAACTGAAGATCGCTCACCTAACCTTCTGGGGAGGCCGTAGGGACATCGTCATACCCGTGGAGGATATTGTGCCGTTCTCGGAACTCAAAGACTCACCGACTGATGTGTACTTCAAGCTGCGGAGATACTCGGGTCCGGAGACGTTTTATGTGTCGCTGCGTTATGGCGGTATCTCTAGTATGGAGAGCCTAGAGGCTGTCTTTGGGCCGCTGGAAGACAGGTGATTGGGCAGACAGCTAGTCGTGTGGCTAACTGAAAACTAGCTGTTTTATCGTCTTTTTTAAACTGCTATGTGATTTTTGTTTTGCGAGTGAAACTGAGCTGATGTATAGCACTATGAGCGAGAGAAGCTGTGAAATGTCAAACTGATACATTGCTATTGTGTTCGCTCGTGAATATATACCACAGTCAACAGTGCCCTAATATCTATTGATAACCTGGGTTCATAGTAAAGCAGCATCAATTTGTTTCTGACACAAATGCATTCTGGGGTCCGGGAATATAGCATATGTCTGTTGGTTGGCTGATAAGTTGCGCTTAGTTATTTCCATTTTCTCTCGAGCATATTTTTCATTAGTTGTGCGTTTGATTATTCGTTTAGTTATCACGTCCCCTTGACTCCTTCCCTTAGTAGGGCAGATATATTAAAAAATCATATCCAACACAGAAAGCTGTATAGATTGATCTATCACAATGCGATGAAGTTTCCACTGATCGTTACGGAAAGCCAAATACATTATTATGTGCAGGATTCACCAAACTACGCGGAACTCAGCCTCTCAAATCATCTCGAGAGGGCAAAACCTCAGCAAAGGAGATTCTCGCCCCGTATCCAGGCGAGTTAGAAGCGTTGATACGCTTCTGCCCAAATAACGAACCACGAGAGAATACACGTACAGGTATTACAAGTGGATTCGTCCTCAAAGGGACGCTATCAGAAAGGGCGTACGAATTAGAGTTCCACTTACACGTCGAGAACCACGTGGGGAACTCCGTGGAACAGGGTACACGTGGCACGTGCCGCGCACGTGTGACCGGTGGTACACGGAGAAAGGAATGTTAGAAGATCGCGGCTCTGTTATGTACACTGTTAGGCGGACACCGTCTTGGTGCTCCCGCGTGATGGCAGATCATTCCTTCCTGCGCCGCGAGATATCCGCGCTGTCACTATCCGAAATAACGGATACAACAGTCGTTCAAGTCCTTCGCACAACGCAGCGCACAACCTCGCGACAGCGAGCCACATCGAGTCGTTAAACCTACCCAGATGGCAGCACTGTCGCCTGTGTCGCCTGCATAGGTGGCAACACCATCGCCTCAAGTTCCGTACCATTCCGTGCTTACGGAACACACTCCAGCGTTTGACAGCAATACAGCTAGAGTCTACAACACCAAAGGATGGCACATTGACACCAGATAAGACTAGCGGGTTACATAAATCTACACCAATGACCTGCCTCGTCACATGACACGACCTGACGGGCCCGCGCTCCACCACACAACCGCTCTTAGCTGCGTAATAAATAGACGGCTGCCGGGCTGCCCAACTCCGTCTGCGGCGAGCCTGGCGCATCAGCGGCGGTTTCGGCGCCGCCCACGCCGCGTCCGTCTACGGTAAAGCTCTCTGAACTCGGCCTGTTTGTGGCGAGTGTGCTCAGTCCCGTCGGCGACACACTTTTCGCGCGCGCTTTCTCAATCGGCGCATGCGCCGAGACCAGTTGTTCTTCCACTCGAGGACAATGCTCTTTTTGTTGACGATGAGGCCGGAGCGTCGCTGCGGGTCCGCGCCCAGAATCAGGTATTTGCTGGAAAAGGGGTAAATTAAGTCAGAAAACGAAAACATCCGACATCGAAGCCGGCTTGCTGAACCAGGTATACATAATCTACCGACATTACAGTCAACTAATCAGACATCTCTACTCGAATCACATGTGGACGATTGAACGATTGAACCATCTAGCCATTCACAGCATAGTTTCATAACCATATAATCGAATAAATCGAACGATATCTTTAGACATGGTTTAGCGAAGACCAACGAAACTCCCGCAAACCCCATATAGTTAACACCCGATTCAAAAAGTTACTGACGAAAAATCCAACTATCTCTAGTTATACGGCCAATCGTGGTTTCCACAATACTCAGCAAAGCAGTGTTCCATTTTTCAGACTTTTTGGTGGCAAATTACACCTAATGGGGAAAATACTTTCATCCCTAAAATACGAATGACCGACTTAGCTTCCTCTCTGAAAAAAAGTTTCATGTATTTCCAACAGCCAGTTTACATGTCACTTGACAGGTTGATGCACCCACATTTTTGTTTCACAACCTGTCAAGATTCTGACATGAAATCCTGGTTTATCAGTTGGCATACAAATTGGCATTATACCATTTTGCAAATACACTTTGGTTATTTATTTCCTTTTTTCTCATCCTACGATTTTTTTTCTCCGTCAGCACACCCATCCAAAATCCAATTTTAGAACACTGCAGCAAAGTGCTTGCTGTCTTTGATTCTCACGAATCCCTTCTACATCCTATATTCTATTCCATACCTGTTGATTTTGATTTTCGGGCAGTTGCAGCTGATGTCCTTCCTGCGCACGAGCAGGTAGCTAGTGCCGCGGCGCAGCTTCCACTGCGGGGAGCGGCGGTACACTGTCTGGATGTTGATGACGTACTTGACGTAGCTGTTGAGCACCTGCTGGTCCACCACCTGAGCCAGGAGCGCTGGTGGTGGGGGAGGGTGGAGGTTAGAGGTCAGTACTGAGGTCAAGATAGAGACAGGTCAGTGCACACTACAGGTCGAGGTACCACAATGCTTTAGGTCAAAACAGAGGTCAGCTCAGCCTTAGACCAGTTGTTAAGTTCAAAGCCAATTTTGGGCAGCGTTTCGGCAATGAAGTCATGGTTAAGATCAGTCACATCAAGGTCAGGTCAGAGCCATGACAGCACTAAATATGCGCAGTGCTGAAGTCAGCATAAAAGTTTATCGCACGAGGTCATAGCAGGAGTCAGCAGTCAGCACAAGAAGGTCGCACACCGAGAACCGAGACGGACTGACGAAGTGGAAAACTTTCACCGATGCTTCACCACCACAGGCAACACTACTCCAGCAGGTTGAGCGATCAGCAAAAACTCGCCCTTGTGCGGCTTGCGGTATAGAAAATGGTTACTGGGCCATACCATTTAACATAATTTGATGATATTTAACTATCATAGAGTCCTCTAGACACTACCAATTTGTGTAACCTTTTTAACAAGCTTACCATAATCTCGTTTGCACATCTTCTTGGCGTTCACTTTCCGGCTTGTTATTCGGCATCTGCCACATTTATCTGTGAAAAAAAGAAACCGTATATCAAAAGACTGCTAAAAAAGTTTGGTTACGGTCGTCGATCTCGTACGAGAAAACGTCTTCAAAACACATCACTCAGCAATGTTTCCTTGGAGGCAACAGTTTAATTCGTATACGCTGAACATTGAACAAAAGAGGTCTGGAAAGCGCACACCCTAACCGTTTGAAAACGGTGAAAAGTGAAAACTAAAGGCGATGGAAATAAAATTATCATCTCCTTTGCGCTCTCCATGTTTACAACTAGCTTTGCGCTTTAAGCCGAGATACACCGAGCATTACCACTGCCTCTTTTCACCTGCCCACCTTCTATTCCCTCTCGCACGGTGGTCTCTGACCAGTGATGCTTTAGTTTACCACCAACATCGCCATTTGTCGCCTACGGCCACACAACCGTGATTAATGGGGCGCCATCCTGTGTATCTATAATTGAGTTCTCGCCATACTGGCCGGCAATCGCATTCACTTATTTTGATTAGGCTTTTATGGTGCTAATGTAGTTATTTATTGGACTGGTCAGGTTGGAACCCCTGCGGCGCGAAGTCTGGGCTCGCCATAAACGAAGGGCGGCCGGAGTAGAAGGGAGATTGGGAGGGAAGAGAAAAGACGGTTGGTGTCGGACGATATTAGAAACAATTACCTGTGAGGGACCCGCCCTGCGGTTAGGGCATTGGCGGAGGTCAGTGACTTATAGGGTGTAGCGTTTGGGTTTACCTCAGGTGTTGTCATAGACCACACACAGTCGAGGAGAAACAGGAAGGGTCAACAGGAAAGGGGGATAGAAAACGGACTGGAGGGACGAGAATAAGAAAGAGAGGGAATGAATGAGCAAATAAATTGAGAGAACAGAGTGAGAGAGGAAGAGGGAGAAAGAGAGAGAGAGAGGGGGAGAGAGAGAGAGAGAGAGAAAGAGAGAGAGAGAGAGAGAGAGAGAGAGAGAGAGAGAGAGAGAGAGAGAGAGAGAGAGAGAGAGAGAGAGAGAGAGAGAGAGAGAGAGAGAGAGGGTGAAAGGAAGGAGGAAGGGAGGGAGAGAGAGCCGACTATCGCTTCACCTGATAGATTGAAACTAGACCACCGTCTCACGCCCAACGGATGCGTGACCACCGGCACCTTTCCGGGTTTAGCGGTTCCATTTGTCAGACTTTGGGGAGTTGGAATCGGTTCTTAGGGGGATCTTCCGGATCAGAGGTGCCCTAATCACGCTGCGTCACGTGCCCAAGAGCTTTGATAAATAAACGCGGCAGAAAGGACGCAGATGCGCGCGAAGGCGTCAACTTCCCCCTCTTTCGGCAACCGGTCAAAGGCGAGAGATGATAACAAATTGCGGGTCACGACTCAGAAATCCTTCTGGATTTGGGCCGCGGGGAAAGCCGCGACTTCGGTGGTTTGCCACGTAGCCTGGCTCGATGACGTTTATCTCATTCGCTACACTAAGGAAGCAACTTCAATTTGTCAATTTCCGTTACCTACACTCAGTACTCAGTATAGCTCGCCCCTCCTCCCCCCCCCCCGCTACTTCAAATTAGTCGCTTATGTCTGTCCCTAACTGCCTGCTGGTAAATAAAATGTGACTCATCACACGTTCTTCAAAATTACGTCACTCTGACTGAAATGAAGAAGCGACTGTTACATTTATGCTCTCATTTCAATAGCGGATGGCAATGTCCCGTCTCATAACAGAACAGAGTGCCACAAAACGTTTTACTACAGAAGCCAGTTGTGTTCATTTCGGGGCGTCATCTCATCCCCTTGGGGCCCTTGGGTACGAACCTCACCCTGCGTCAGTTATTTGTAAGGGTGATATTAAATGTATACCTGTGCCGTCGTCGCTGTTTATTGCAACCACTTTATGACGCATTTAATGGATTCCAGCTTTGAATTATAGCCAAAATATGGAGAGTAGGCAATTTCGGGCGGGTATCCTGCCTGTACCGCTTGACATTGACGGATGTTGTGGCTAAATTACGCCCAGGAAACATTTACTTTGTTATGGAAGAGGGGGAATATGAGATGCTGGATCGGTGTTAAAAAACAACTTACTCTGTGTGCTACAAAATTAGAAGTGCAATGCATTAGCCACCCGGAGGGGAATAATCCATTTTTCAAATAAAATATGACTGATGCATGCAGCAATCAACAAAATATGACAATTTTTAAAATCCTGCTCGAAAGAAATAAAACACCAGGATAAAAATTGGAGAAATATACACGATACCAAAAGGCCATGAAAATCATCAATAGTTATTGGCACCACCGAACCAAAAACGATGGTAAATTGAGCCGCAATTTCTTTGCCATCGAATTGGTGAGGAAAGCAAAGTGAAATACGCAAAGCTCAAAACGTTATCCTTGGTCTCGTCCTTCCGTCCAAAGTCCAAACACACCATTCGTCATAAACATCTAAAATGTAATTTTATATCTCGTGTGATACATTTGTGGTGAATGATTTCCTTCAATCTCTCAGTGATCTACAATGCAACGAGTTACAAATCTGCAACAGACCACCTTCAAACAGACAGATCCACCAGAGATTTGTCCGATCACGGCTCCGTTTGGCTCTGGCCGTTCAAAAGATACACCGACTCCGCCGTAGCAGCAGCCGGCGGCTCGCTTCAATCAAGCATCAGTCTTCTGTCACCCCTGGCCAGGCGTCTTTCGGGATCGCTCAGTTTATTTAGTCTGAATGGTAGTGATTGGTCGGTGCCGGTTTTCGCTAGCACCGTCGGAAGCCTTCAAACAAACCGCCGTATTCCACAGGGAGGGAGAGAATGAGATCATGATTTGGGCCAAGATTGATACTTGTCTCGTACGGGTTGGATGTTAGGTATTTTTACACGATCACATATCGTACTGGATCGAATTCGATCATTGGTCTAACTTACAAAGGTGTAAGCATAATGAGAAATGACTGAAAATTCGCAAGAAACAACCTCAAGGAAGCTAAGAATGGATCGGGAAATGGATTTCAATATGTGCCATCACCTGTAACTGGGCTGATCATCACCCGTTTACGATGTTATGATTAAAAGTAAACATTAATATGACTAATAAACTTACTTTGCTAAAACCGAAGCCGGTGAGGCAAGTAAATGCCGCCAAAGGGGTGATCGGGGTGGCACTCCCCCCGTGACAAGGAATGCCGTTGAATTTCACGCCAATGAGCCGCTCTCGCTCACCTCCCCTGCCCCACCTTATTCCGCTCTGTCCTTCCTTGATCTCTGTTCTCTCTCACCCCTCTACCACACCTTGTTCCTCTCTGTTCCCGGATCTCTCTCTCGTGCCCGGCCCGTGCCTGCGAGGAGCAGACACGCCCCGTATTATTGCCCCAATGCCCCGCCCCGCCCAGCCTGAAGCGAACGGTTGCTTACCTAGTCTCATCGTCGCATAGGTATACGACATAGAGGCTACATCTGGCACGTGAGCTGTCTCAAGGGACTACCTCAGATAATTTTGACACTTTGGCTTCCTCAGACAGTGACATCGGACGACAGAGTGACTAGCTGCCAGTCAGTAAGCGACTGCCTCCTTCTGACGGCAAGGCTGACTTCTTCCCTTCCTTCATTCCCTGACGGAGGTGCTACCTCCGACTCCGTGGCTACCTTCTTTACACGACTACCTTCGACAGATTGGCTACCGACATTGGCTACCTCCCAGCGGTTGCCAGCTCATCTCAACCCTTCCTCAGACGCGGCACTGTGCTACCACAAAATAAACCTCAGCCCTTGCGGTAAACTTGGATCCTTACTTCTAAACACACCCAACCCTCGCGTCGGCCGTGAAATCAGCCGCCAAGAACTAATCATACCACGGTTAATCCAGTTATGGATACGCGATCAGCTATCGAAGCTTCCTCGTTCGTTGCGTGGAGACTGTGTTGCATGATCCGGTTAAATCCCGTGAACTAGTGTGGGTTAGCACCTGCCGGCCGTCGATCAAGCCATGATATCCTTGCCATGTACAATGCAGTGCAATGTGTAGGTACTGTGTAGTGCATTTACCAATGCGGCGTCAGATCAAAGAAGAGCAAGGACGGCAGAGGAAGCCGGCGAGTGGCTTTCATGTTACTTTACTTTCCATATCAGTTTAATCTCATTGTGCATATGGTTTTATTCCAGTGGCGGCGCGTGGCAATTTAGACTAGCTTCATTGGGAAACCGGAAAGGTATGCATTCATTTTCGTCTGGCCATAGACCTCTGTACACGTCTGGCTAATATGACAACACCTAATCGCGGTCGGTCCTCCTACAGGCTATACCAGAGTATAAAGACAACGGCTATACCACGAGTCAGCCTCAAAAGACATCAACTTCCCAACCCCGGGGAGACGGGACCAGGCGTTTGTCTCCGTCCCGCCTCAATACACCGGCCCGCGTCATAAAACACCGAGACCGTCCGAACGTGGCAATATTGGTGCGCTTGTTTGCGCCGAATGGGACACCCCGCGGCGACTGTGGCGCACTAGATCCCGATCGTGGCGCGTCTGATTCGTTCCGAGACGTTGGTGGTGAGAAACAAGACGGAGAAGGATATTTTTCCCAGGGTAAATACTTGCACAGGTGGGTTCAGTATGAAGTCTTGGAAAATATTGAGGTGATACAACCGCTGGTCGTACAGAGACGGAATAACTAAATGGAAGATGCAGATGTTTCAAATGACTGGGTTATCGATGTAAGGCCGTGACGAATGCGATATTCATTTTCTTATTGTTTGATGGAGTTATGCCGCAAATTCATAGCTATTTCGCATGAATAGCAAAATGCTATTTAATAGTTTTGATTCTCTGATAAATCAGTCATTATGTGCCAGACGCCAGTCGGTTACATCTGTTGCAAAAGCCGAACTGCTTGCTTCACTTCAACCTCAAAGGTTCGTAATCTTGCTTTGAAGATTCCATGTTTGTGTCGGGTTAGAAAAAGTACCTTACACCGGAAGAAAATGCTTCTGTGTTTCGAAACAATTCATTTCGCTAGTCAGGGCTGTCCGAAAAATATCTTAACCGTTTGAACTTCAGCCTAAACATTTAAAATAACCCCTCTTTTTATCATCAAATTAGTACCCGTATGCATTAGGACGTGCTATTGCCATCTAACCCAACGCTATATCGTAAATGCAGCTCGTTAATTGCAATTTTGTATATAAAAATATTAACAGGAAATGCTCACATTTAGATCCGAGCAGTCTGAATTGAATATAGTAAAAGATAAAATCTAGTAAATGTACGATCGCCAATCAACCAAAAATGATCGGTATAGGAGCGTCATCACCAGTGGTAACGTGGCAACGATAGCTGAGAATCCGAACTTAGCACTCAAAGGTGAAATACCTCTCGCCGAAACCACATCGGAACAGCTTATCACGGAGCGTCAAAGAGCTCAGTTGTTTGAGCCGTTCGGGCTACGCAGTTAGGAACAGTTTAATGGAAAATGGCTGACCGTTGACCGTTGAATGAGAGGACAGTCACGGTAGTCCAATGTCCCCGTTTCCTAGAAAATTGAGAGTTAAATTTCCAGCTATAAGAAAGGTGACCTTACAAGCGGATCTTGGAACCCAGTCGTATGCATAATCGCTTCCACTCATCTTATTTCAGCGTTGCTGAACTTATGAAAAAAGTTGCCTCTAACTTAAGCTCAAACTCCCATCCCAATGTTGATTCCATCAAAAAACCATTTTTTAGATCAAAACTTTTCGGAAAATAGACAAAACCAATGCGGAAGATTATCACTAACTGAAACTGATAACTGAAAAGAGAATCGTTTTCATCACAGCATCTACGAGCCAAGATGATGACATCACGTGAACAATACACCCTCGATCGGGATATATCTCTCTCGTCTGCGGTCATGGCAGCGTTTTCAATAGCCAGCCCCACCCACTCCGGCCTCCATCGGACTGTGAATGCTGATTGCACGTCGCTTCACAATGAATGATACATATAAACTTGATTCAGCCTTCATGGGTGGCACATTACCATATCTTCACAAAGGCTGACCGTGGTCCGCGATTCACCATCAGTGGTGTTAATTTGGGCTCACATTCTTATACAGGTGACTTGTCGCAATTATTCTTCTTCTTTCTGCACGCCTTCATGACGACATAAAAGATTATGCCGTGATCTACGGCTGGAATCTTACTGGATGCATCTTTAATTCATTTTACATTAAATTAATGAGGACGGGTGGTTCAAAGCAGCTCGGGGGTGGCGTCGGTACTCAGGTTAGGTTATGTCCCGGTGGGGCATAAAGGTGTCATATTGCCACTTAACTTAGGATAAGCATTCGCCATTCACAACCGTGCTTAGATCAGCACGGTGATATATGGGTTGAAAATAAAATATTCATTCGTTCTTTTTGATGACGATAATGAAGGACGAACCACATGGATACAACACTTGTTCACATGCGCTTTGCAGAAATAATAAAAAAAACGTATACAAACGAACACCCGTGTTGTTCTTTTAATCACCAGCGCTGTCCAGCTTTGGGATCAAGGCCAAGACAAGTTTTACTATAACATTTCCGTAGTTTTGACTTGCTTCCAGGCACTTAAACTCACTGTTGATTGCACTCTACATAATTTCCAATTATATCGATATCTGGATCTTGAGTCACGTCAACTTGTTACCATTATGCGCCCATTTTTTATTCTCAGCCCCAGCCCAATCGTGAATGCGCATTCTAAAGCTGTATTTCTCGAGTCGACTTGCCTTCTCCTCTTTACCTTGCCTCCTCCTCCTCCCCCCCACACACATTTACACACTAACAGACGGTGAAGAGCGTTCGATCGACGAGAAATTTTGAAGGACGAAAAAGGGCATTTTGTCCACATCCTTTTTAAAAGTACGATACCATGCCCTCGCTCTTCCTCCCATTCCACTGGCCTTCGACGATAATTCTGTGTTATTCTTGCGTTTACAACAACTCAGATCACAGTACTAACCCAACTTACAGATTGTCCAACGCATTTGTTATGCATAGACCTACTTACTGCAATGACATCATTTCGTAATAGCATAACTTACACAATTAAAATCTTTCATAATTCAGAACAATAAGGTGCCTCTCTTCGTGGGTGTTGCATAGAATATAATGTGCACCGCACAATGCACAATGCACCTGCATCTCTAATTCTCCATCATCTACCTTTGATCATAAAACTGCCGCGCCTCCAGACTAGCAGCTTGATAATGACAAACTGCATCTCTAATCCTATAGCTCTCCCCTGCCCTCCCATCCCTCTACCCAAGCCATCCCCTCGCCTCCCAACCCAAGCCCACACCTCTTTCCAAGCCGGTTCGGCGGCTGGTCGGCAGCAGGCAAGTGACACAAGGATTCGAATTATCCGCATACAGCCAGGATGCCAACTGCTAGGCGCGGCCGGGCCGGAACCGCTGGGGTGATGACACCATTCAAGCTACCATAGCCGGTAATTACCTCCAAAGTCGATAGAGTATCCGGTGACACACCTTAAATAGCTAGGTGTTCGGCTGCAGTGGACTGCGGAGATACACTCTCCCCTTCCGACTGCTGCATGTCGGATTATTGGCACATGATGACTGATATGCAGGCAATAAAACATGCCACTCCCCGCACACCATGTTTGGTTACTCATTTGATAAGAGTTCCCTTGACCTATTATGTATTTGTTTGTGTTCAGGTTCCGCTCCAATGAAAATGAATTTTGAACAGAAATCCTTAAAATGTATGAGTTATTGCATTAGCGGTCTAAATACACCATGCGAGAGACTTGTTGATCAAGTCTCCCTGGCCTGGCATCCTGTCGACCAATGTCCAGTAGAGACATTGAACTATTTGGTTTTAGCCTGAAACTGGTGCTGAAGTAACCTACCTTCTTTGGGCTCCTTGTGGTGGTTGGGTCGCCGCCGGGAGCCTCCATGTGCCACCTCCGGTATTTCTGTACAGGAGAAAAATGTCAGCCGTTGAATCTACGTTCGCAAGAGCACAAGCTCACACAAAGATCACATGCACAGTTCTGTCTTAGTTCATACCTACTGAGTGTGACCAACTTTTAGTCCCTACCCCACTACCCCGTCTTTCTCCTCTGCTCCCTACCTCCTTTCATCCATCCTCTCTCCCTCTCCCTCTCTCTCTCTCTCTCTCTCTCTCTCTCTCTCTCTCTCTCTCTCTCTCTCCCTCCCTCCCACCCTTCCCCCTCCCTCCTTCCCACTCACTAATGCACGGTGCAATCGGCGAACGGCTCTGCTGGTATCCCTTGTCGCACCGGTTACACGTTAATCCTGTCACTCCATCCTTACACGTGCACTGACCCGTTGTCTGGTTACACGTCTTGCCCTGTGCGCCGATTGGGTGGCACGCGCAGGCTGCACACAAAGAGAGGGGGGTCAGAATAGGTCACCGAGGGGGTAGGAAAGGTGACGATATCTTAACAGGACGCGGTAGGTGTGGAGAAAAATCACGACACATTTACTCGCCATTTTTCTAGTCTTCAGTTACGATAGCACAAAGCGAGCCTTTTCAACAAGAAAAAAAAAACACAACATACGTACAAGTAGGGTGTAACAGGCTCGTCAATTCAATGTCTGAACTATTCAAAGTATTGCAACTCAAGCCTAAACACACCTTTGTAGTGACCTATGTTTTTAAATGATCATCGTGTTTTCCTAGAAAACCCCTAAAACAATTACACTTCCACTGCCTAACAACCTTGTTATCCCACTTCCTACATCATCATCTCCCTCCAGTTCGGACCTCACTGATCATCTACCACCAGTAGCGTCACAATCAGCACGCTTCCGTGAAGATCGGACTGTCAGGAAGTGAAGTTATGTGCCACATAAACTACAATTTACGAGCAGATGAGGACAACGATGTCCCCGAGGGGTCGGCACGGGTCACCAGATAGACTGGTTAGGACGTTAGATGGTGCAGAGGGCAGATTTCTAGAGAGGTGATGCATCAGGCGTTGAATCAGACATCAGACATGATGCGTATGGAGTGACAATGAAGCGGTGACGCAGACAACGAGGGTGTGGCACGCCATTTATCTTGATCGAAACGAGCACAGCTATGAAATTAAGTGGTGGAAACGGCGGCACAGTCAACAAGCATCAATGAGCCTTGACTGTGAACCAATCTGTTCTCATCGTCAGTTTCTAGAAACAAATATGCGACGTAACATGAAATATATTGTTAAAATTTGATGATTCTATGCAGTTAGAATAACAATTGCAAAAACAAAACAAAAGGAATGCACGATTTCAAAATTTTGGCCCCAGGTGTTTCAGTAACTACATGAGGACAAAATTAGAAGGATAGGGTACTCAAGCATGGAACAGCTGGTCTTCCCCCGTTTTCTTACGTTTGCAGGCCTTCCTGTGCTGGATGGGCCGGCTGCGGTCCCGGAAGAAGCCCTCCCTGCAGTAGTGGCAGTGCCTGCCGGCCGTATTGTGACGGCAGTTCAGACAGACACCGCCGCTCTCCCGGCCGGACAGCTTGTACAGCTCCATGTTGAACCGGCAGCGGCGGGCGTGCAGGTTGCAGTTGCAGGCTGAAAGGCGAGAGAAATACTTATTAGTAAAAAAGCAACGACTGATTTCTGGAACTTCACCGACATCTGAAGAATCATTTGCATGTTATTTATTCGAATATTAGCCTTGGATCAATTGTTATTTTTTTCAGTTGTAATCCCTACGGGAACCACTCCATCGAAACCAACGTTACATGTTGCAGAGCATTCGCAGTTTGCTTGTACCTATCAGAGGTGACGGGATAATCAGTAGTTGTCCAGCCACAGGACACATAAGTCTCAGTCACCATCCCGTGAGTTTGATCATATCCGTTGTTCTATCCGGTACAAAACTGAGGCTCAGTCAAAATAAAGCGGCCTTGTACAACACTGGGTGAGAAGAAATGGGAAGGTGGTGGCTATGTCAACTAAGCTAGATTGCCCCAGTTCTCCTCTAAATGCTGTTTATACCACAACCAGTGCCAGTATCTGTCCCTTGTTCACGCCTGAAGCCTAGCTGCGTGTCTCAACTGAGGCTCTAACCCTGCACCCGGCGGGCCCGCTCAGTTCCCCACAACACGCGCCACGCGGCCGGCGGCCACGTGACCCTATCCATTGACGTTGAATGTGATCACGTGGGCGCTCCAGCTGCTCCCCGGTGATCTATGGTGAACTCATACCATAAATCTTCCGGAGGGGAGAGACCAATTTGTTGTCGTTATTTGCAATACGGGCCAATCACCGGCGTCGCTTCTAGGAGGATGTGTGTGGTTTTCCACCACTTGTTTTAATGGTGGAATAAAGTGTAATTTCGGGGGCAGGAAACACTGTGCCTGAAGGCACACGTTATCGCTGTGTTACACAACACGAGACAAACGAGAAAAAACATGATAATAGGGCGATTGGAAATATCAAACATTCTTGCACAAGAAGAACAAGGGAATGATCAAGTTTAATGAATTGATTAAATTGAATCAGGTTAATTAAATCGGCAAAGCAGATGGCATACCTACTGGCATAGCTCGCAAGTCCTATTTTCTAGCCCACATCATAATCACTCCCACTTCAATACAGACATCAAGAACAAATGCAGCGAGATTCCGAACACCCCTCCCATAAGCGTTCCCTGGCTCCGCCTCTGTTGATGAGGGGATGCATCCCTCTCCTATAAATTGGAACCTAGGGGCGTGGTATAAATACTTTATGATCTGTTTGGGCACTGCGGCTTGCCGGGGGCGGTTATCAAATCAAATTACCGGTCTACGTGCAGTGAGATGCCCGCGGTCCAAGTACAAAGAGGTCTGTCGCCTAAGCGGCGCGAGCGACCGGGCCCCGTCGCCTGTAGGGGTGCGCAGAAGGGGAAGCGGGGGAGAGCGCTGAGGGAAAGGGGAGCTGTTATAAATGACCGAGGGTTATTGAATGTGAGCTTTATTGATAGGTTATGGGGAGGCGGCATATGTTCGCCGATTAGGTTATCAGAATATGTTCAAAATAACATCATAATTCAGATGTCAACCTGTCTCTCCCGTCGATCAATGCATCAGCGATGACGTTGTTGGGACCGTCTCAGTGTATGTACAAAGCATATTGAATTGAAGAGCTGAAAGCTTTACGGATGCGTCGCAGCTCCCGTAGTTGTCGGTTTATATAGGTACTCAATTCCATAAACTGGTAGGGCCCGAGCCATGCCCAATCCAAAAGTTCGGTATTTTAACACTAATCCTATGGCACGGCAAAAACGGCTTTGGAATATCAAAATTAACCACTTGGGTGTTATCAACATTCAACAAATTTCAGAAAGTAGCGCCCGTTGCAGCGGCGCTCTAAATGCCGTGCGTTTTGGCCGCTCATGACGTGCGGGTTTGCCTACCAGCGCAGGACCCAGTCCCGCCTGCCATCTGGTGGGCGGAGCGGGAAACTCACCATATGTGCATTGGGCAAATGAAGTGGGTCGGGGCCGAGCAAGGGGAAGGCTTTTCACACGCAAAGGAAATGTCACTGGGGGCATAGTAATCATATTTTGAAAACAGTATAGCTGAACATTTTCAGCGGTAAGATAATTATTAACAGTTTCTACATCCTCTAGTGAACTTACTCGAACATCGGGACTAGCATCATACCGACCAGGGTAGCCGGTTGATTTAGATATCAGCCGCAAAAAGTTGATACCCATTCTACCTACATGTCAAGCAAAGGCCGATGTACTCCAACACAAGCAGCAGAAAAAAAGAAAAAAAATGATCGGATGACATATTCCTTTTGCCTAACTATGGAAACGGTATAACGTAAAACAAGGTGAAAAGCTGAAACATAAATTACACACTAATAACAATAGACGCTCGACTTCAGCACGCAGCACGTACACGCACACACTAACTCCACGTTTCAGCCATACGTTCTACCGTCGTTCAGTGCCATTAAACACTCATGAATCGCGTTCAGGGCATCATGAATCGTTCGATCGCTGTAGCCATTGGGCAGTAGCCGCTCTCTATACGACGCGTCTCTGGGGAGTACTGATCGTTAGTGGCGATAAAGTACCGGCAAAGCACAGGTGAGTGAGGAGGGAGAGAGGGAGAGAGGGAGAGAGGGAGAGAGGGAAGGAGGGAGGAGAGAGAGAGAGAGAGAGAGAGAGAGAGAGAGAGAGAGAGAGAGAGAGAGAGAGAGAGAGAGAGAGAGAGAGAGAGAGAGAGAGAGAGAGAGCGAGAGAGAGAAAATAACTCAGATGGAGACAGTGTGAGAGGGAGAGAGAAAGAGGGAGAGAGATTTAGGCATTCAGTAGCGGCGGAACACCTTCAATTAAGGGGGCGGGCACTGCCGACTTTTGGTCCCATTCTTTCCATGCAACGCCCATAGGGCTAATGTTAAAATGCCAAAATCAAAGGGGGGCACGGTGCCCCGGTGCCCTCCCCGTTCCGCCGCCTATGCAGGCAATATTGTAATTTGGCTTTCAGGGCACTGCAAAACTGAACTGGCGGACGCAGTCATGGGTGACTTAAAAAGGAAACATTTCTCAGAGAAAATTACGATTACTTTGTTTACAAATTGAGCGATACACATTATCATCACCTTAAAATTAATTCATTTTTGGGAAGGCACTGTCATATGAGGTGTTCATGAGCAGTAGCAGAGCTCGCCTGTTTGTACTCTGCAGTGAGTGGTGATAAAATGTACTCTCATCACGCTGTAATCTTGTCTCGGATGGTGACCCTGCCCAAAGTACCCCATCCCCTCTGGTATTTAACATCGCCCAATCCCATCTCCAGCCCCGCACCGTACGACACCGGTCAATTAACCACTATTTTATCAGAGTCTGCGAGCGCCACCCAGCACAGTTTACCGGCCGAGTACCGCGACTAAGGAGAAAAGCGAGACCCCCTCAGTCCCACACGACTCCCCTGAGAATCACTAGGGAAAAGGTACGGCCGACGACGGCACGGCGGTGCGGCGAAATGGCGGCGCGCTGCGCTACAAATGTCGACGGTGAGGGACGCAGAGTGACAGGCGGCTTTAACAGATAATGGAGGAGGAAGGTATTGATATTTGGTGTGTTCGAGAGAAAATCGCGACAGAATTCTCGAGGGAATGTGAAAAATCGACCAAAAGCGATCGAGGTAAATTTGATCGCATAACAGCTGACATGTTATGTCATCATGATGACACCCTATTTTTCGTAAACAATAATAATTGATCCTTGGATATTCCTTCACTAAACTGGAAGTTTGCGAGCGACAACGGGTTTTGAGAATAACGACGGGAAGACGAGTGCCTTCCAACCAATAACGTTGTTGGTAACAATGAAACTACGCGAAACTATGTAAGAAGGTATTCTAGCGATGTTGAACGAAGCTTGCGGACGCTTTGAAGTCTGATGTTTAAAGCTTGCAAAGCAAAGGATGAGATGAGAGGGTTGAGAAAAATGAGATTGACTGTTTATTCAGACAAGCGCTGAAGGAGCCGCAAAACCAATTTCTCATGTATGGAAACAGTTGACCGTTTATGAGTTTGCCTAGCGTGTAACACATTTTTTAAAGACCTTATTCAATATCCGAACGCGATGCGTGCGTATCAAGCCACTTGCCAAAGCTCTGGATATCCCCGAGAATAAAGCACTCATCAGTAAACCAGCAAAGCAGTTCTGATACCCTGGTCGCTTGATTTCCTTAGTTGAAGAGTTATACCATTGGGTTAAATACCACACTTCAACTGCATAAAGCCATTACGTCAGTTGCTCGCCAACTTTTATGAATATCCAGCTCTATCCATATTTGGAAGCTTAGCTTGTCAGAGACAAAATTGTCCACTGTCTGAGTTGGGCTCAATCAGCGGTTAATTACAATCTGTCGAGTCTTGGTCATCCGTCAGAAATTTCTACGAAAGCGTTTAAACTTGCAACAGCAAAAATAAAAGAGACACCATACCAAGAAAACCACTGCGTTCACTTTTCGTGCAGCGATTTTCGCCCACTACGCTACCGATGAGGTTAGGACAAAACACGATAGTTTTATAGCAGGCGTCTGCTGTATCTACGAAGACGACCATTCTGCAGACATTGCGTGTGGGTACACTGCAGCCACCACATCACTGACATGACCGGTATAATGCGAAACTGCTGTTTGGGACGTCCGAAGCAAGATAATGACTTGCCTAAGCGGAAATGATAGCAAATTTGCAATCCATAATGCATGAGCAGGACACACCGTTCGTCTAGTGACCGGAATGGTGAGTCTATCAAAACACATCGCGCCGGCTTTTTCAGCTAGGTAGTAGTTGTAGCAGTAGGCCAAACATGGTTTCAGATGAATCGGTCATACCATGTTCCGATATGGGCCCGCCAGGCTGAATTACATTACGTGGGCTGAGCGCTAATGTCATACAGTCTTCTCGTGATATTTTTAGTTCCATTTAAACATGAAATGACTGGTTCCAGATGATGACCCTAATATTTCACCCACCGTTTGGCCATTTACGATCATTGGTCACATAAAACCGCGCTGAACACCGTCGATATTGTCATTAGCGAAATCGACCCACATGTCCAT